GGTATGCGGCGGTGCAGGTGAGGCTGGGCATGGAAATGGGGCTGGAAAACGTTGCTTCTCCTTCCGGCCTTTCCCCCTCTCCCTCTGTCCTTTAAACCTTATCTGGGACAGCTTGTCCACCACGGTATTGACCTGAATTGGCCTTTGGCTTCAGCGAAGGGATGAGGTAGTAAAAATCCTCTTTGGTCTTCGTTTTCCCAGCTATTCTTGCCTGCTGGAGGTAGGGGAGGACGATAAATAAACACCTTTTCAAGGGAACTTCCACGTATGGAGATAGTTTCTTAGTTCCCTGCTTTTAGCTTTCACTTGTGTGTACAAGAGGTAACAGAGGGGAGCTGACACCTACTTTTCCAGAAAACGTTCCCGGTGCCTGGCGGCTGCGGCTGCTAGTGGATTTTCCAAGAAGTGGCGCAGCAGACAGAGGTGCCTCTGTCTCCCTGCTGCCTGCAGCTCTGAATAGGAGCCCTGAAGCTGGCAGCTTTGCCGCCGTTAATTCCAGGGATGTCTGGATAAACTGCAGCGGCCTGAAGTATAATGGAGTTTAAGTGGAAAAAAATTGTGCTTCTGTCGCTGCAAGGGCTAAGTTTTAGAAACAAAGTAACTGGCCGAGCAGAGAGCTGGTGATTTTGTGCTGGTTCCCTGCCTGAGCTTCCTGCTGTGGAGCTGGACAAGCCTTCTCATGAAATAATCCTGGCTAACTATAAAGTTTTGGGCATGTCAGAGCAATGACAACCATAGGTATAAAACAAAGATTTTTTTGGTCAGTTACTTCAATTTTTTCTGTATCTAATTGCCAGACACCACCCTACAGAGTTTATACGGAGTTTTGGTGATAAAAACAAATCCTCCTAAGCACCTATTCAATGCTGCTAACTAGCATAGGTCTCTGCTGACTGATGTTTTGACTCCGTTTTTTTTTTTTTTGTAAAAGACTTGCTTGTGTTGTTACTATGTTGCAGCAAAATCACTGAGAACGCAAAAAAAGCCTTGGCCTCGCTGAAGAGAGAAAACCCTCGGCTTGAGCCAACACTAGCTATTATTCAGGTAAGGAATATCTGTATTTTAGCTGGCCATAAGAGAGCACTTTGCAGTACTGCTTCTTGTTTGCAACTTTAAAAACACACGATGCAGAAGGTAACTTTTATTCGAGCAAGACAGTAGGAGGAGGTAATGCCCTCAGTGTAGGAAGGAATCTCATGAACTTTCAGTCTCAAGAGCCCTTCTCCAGGCCGGAGGCAGCTGCAGCAAACTTCAGACTGTGGACAAGGGGGTGTTAGAAAGAAGGTAATGATTTTATACCTTCCTCCGCACCCTTCTCCTTTATACGTACGGTTGCCTTTTCTCTCAGATTGTCTAGTTGATTGATATAATCAAGTTAAAGTGTTTGTCCTTAACCTTTATTTAGGCTGAAATTTTTGTTGTAGTCCTGAAAAAGGTGTTTATATGCCTGAAAACCTGATCCTCTTTCTGTTCCCTCCATCCCCTAAATGATATTAACTAGGCTAATGAAAGATGTTGCATCTTCTTGCAAGCCTTGTTAACCTTTAGACTGCTGTAGCTTATGACTGCATTGCTACTACTGTAACGAAGGGAGAACCATACTGAAAATTCCCAGTCAGCTGAAAAGGGGCTGTATGCAGTAAACGCCCTGTGTGAAATTGTTGTCAGTATCTTAAAAGTAGCAGTGCTTTCTAAGGTGGAACAATCTCTGAATAGCTGAGAGCTCTTTTGCTACTAACCCGTAAACAGCTTTTTTTTCCCTTTCTCATTGGCGTTGCCATCTTTGAAATACGCGAGCAAGCTCATAGGTGAGGACTGCTTTCCTTACAAAGTTGAGAGATTTTTCTCTTCAGGTTTCGTAAGGCTTCAGGGCCAAGGAACTGGGGATGTTTGTCCGTTCGTTTGGAGAAGGACCAAGAACCATGCAGGCGGAGGAGATGTTCTTGTTGCGTTTCATAGGACTGTCCTGTAGGTTTTGAATCTGGGCATACTGAATCTTTCATTCAGTAGATATTAATTTTAAAACCTAACTGTGGGCACTTCTAAAGCTGTAGCAGTGATTCTGAGAAACAATCTGCCGATTTTAGTGGATCTTCTTGAGAGGCGGAGCGGGAAAGCTTTGCCATCTCTTACCCCTCCGTAGGTACTTTCAGGTATCATTTTCAAATAGCTCTCCAGGACTGTAAGTCTAAGTACTGCTGATACAGCCATAATCCCGTTCTTGGGATTACCCACAGTAGTAAAGCAGGGCTCCCTCCGCGGCACTACTGGGAATGTGGAGTTTCAGCCTGAACCTGCTCAAAAACAGTTTTAGCCGCGTTCTTTTCCCCTCAAATCATCTGCTCCCGGATTCGGATCGTGACTGATACCTGTATTGGTTAGTATGTGTGTTGAACATGAACTGGAGCCGCACAGTGTTGGCTTCACTCGTGTTCCCAGTGCAGTGGCCTCTGTCTGGCCCCTTGCCTCCAAGTGCCGGGTTTAGGGAGCGGTCGTGCTGCACCAGGGATGCAGCTGGTGCTGGGCTTGGGAAGGGATGCAGGGGGGTGAAGGCAAAGGCTTCCCCCACTGAAGCTGTGGGGTCAGCAGCTGCCCCTCTCAGGGCACCCCTCTGCATTTTAAATGCTGTTTCTCCAGCGTGAACACTCTTGAACCATCTGGGATTTAAGTACTGCTGATACAGCCATAATCCCATTCTTGGGATTACCCACAGTAATTGTTACAGGCTTGAACCAAAATTGTTTTGGGTAATGTTAGTCATAGTTGATGCTAGTGTAGGAAAAAAGCCACTAAATTAATAGTTTGACTGACTGGAAGTCACTGGCATTGAATTAAATGAAATTGCAATAAACTCTTTTAAAATGGTTGTTTTCCACTCCATTGTCTGGAGTGGAAAACATGCTTTAAATATATTACTACAGTTATGAACAAAGTGTTTTACTCATTTTGTCATGAGGCAACAGTGACGTTTTTGAAAGTGAAATTAAAACCTTCCTGATGTGTCGCTAGGAGGTTTTTAGTTCTGGATATCGAATTCTCTGTTTTATTGTTACAGTAGATGAAAGTATTTCAAAAGCCTTCTAAAATTTAAGAGTAGGTAGTAAGCAAAAATGAAATATAGTAGTTAATGCAATGTAAATAGTTGCAGGGACCTTAGGGAAGGAGGATTCCTGAATGAGATGGAGCTTGTCCTAGGTAATCTGCCCAGGAGAAGCTTTTATTGTAGGGCAGGTGTCTGATGGCAATTGGTAGGACTCGATAAACACAAAACTCACTGTTTCATATATGTGGTGTATGATTCGCGTCATTTTTGGTGATAAGGCGAACCAGTGTTGTTAGACAATATGGGAACAATGTAGAAAATGCTTCCATTGCCAGTGTCCATTTCTTCTTTGCTATAAGCAGGTGTGGAGAGCTGTATCTTCAGATACAGACTGGCATCTTTCTTAAGTGATAAACTCAGATTAAGGAACTGTCCTCTTTTATCTTAAAAGTCAGGCTACTCTCAACACAGACTTGAACCAATCAAGTCAAAATAAATTTACCTGACAGTAAATTTACCTGTTTGTTTCTTACAACTAGCTTTTTTAGCTTTTTTTTTAAAGCTAGTAGACGCAAACAACCTCACTGCATGTTTCTTACATATACCTGTGTCTTAGCACCCTTAAGCATTTAAATATGAATTTATTATTTTAAAGCTAAGTTTCTGTTTTGTTCCCCAAAGGCACATAATGATCATTTGAGTCAAGAAGTAAACAAGAACTTTGCTGAAGAGGTAAGCTTTGGCAGATACAGTTGTTGTTAAGCACGCGCTATTTGCCTCTGATAATTTTTAAGTATTGTTTTCTTTTGGTAGGTTGGTCTACGTGTTATTCACATCTGTCTCCCTGAAGGCAGCAGCAAAGATGAGGTAATTGTAGTACCTGAAGTACTCTTCCTTTCTACTTGCATCGTAAACCTATGTTTATTTCTGACATTCGTTATTACTTTGAACTCATCTCTGTTAACTCAAATTAGGTTTGGGACTGTCTTAGTCAAGTAGCAAGTATTAATGCCTTTTGACAAGTAAGGAATCAAGGGAATTAATGACTTACCTGCCGTCCCCTGGCAGCCTGAAACAGGACCGAGAGAGTAATGTTTTGTTTTCATATGCGGTACTTCAGTACGAAAGGGCACTGCGGTTAGAGTGGTCCGGGTGCGTTTGACACTGGTGGAAGCTCTGGACTAGGCCTCCCATCCGATATCCGATCTCCCACAGTTGCTGTTGTGATCGTGCCTCTATTTGTGGAGCTCTTGGTTTTTGCCAGGTGTTGTTCGGAGAAGTTAGAGCTGAATTGTTTTTCTTGGAGTTATTTTGCCTGTTCATTGTTCGTGTAGCATTTAAAATACATGTTAAAAATGCACTCCCCTCCCTCCCCACCAAGTTGCTAGAGAGCTAAGCTCTAACCTTGTTAAATACGTTAGGTTGGAGTCATAGCACTAGTCTCAGGTAGGCTTTAAATATAGAGAACCATATTAATATACAGTCTGGGGGCAGCTGAAAGTAAAAACAACAAAGGAATTCGTAGTAAAAGATGCCACTGTTCTCAGCTGGCCTTGTTGTGCTTAAGTTTGATAATACAGTGTGCTTGTGGATTTTATTTACCATTTTGTATTTGGTTCAGTTTTTAAAAAAATGTTACTATCTTGCTCTGTAATTTCAAGCAATTTCCAAGCATAGTGCAGGGAACAGGTTTGCACTTGCTATCAGTTCCTTTTTTTGAATAATTTTGGGAATCCAGTTTTGTGAAAGATGAACAGTCTGTTATCCGTTTAAGAAAGTCAGGCTTTCCAAAAAAAAAAGAAAAAGTCAAATGCACTTTGCTGTTAGTGAATGAGTTTCATCTATTGAGTAACATAGTAGGATGTAGGTAAAATACAGTGACTATGGAACTTCTGGTACGCTGAAGTAATACCTTGATTAGGAAATGGCTGAGCCATGTAAGTAAAAACAGTGTATTTTCGTTATTTGGGCTAAGTTGCTTTCCACAGAGGTACTAATGATCTGCTTACTTGCCTGTGTACTCACTACGACAATATTTTTTACAGCTGTTAAAATTCACATTATGTTGCATGCACTGGTTCGGGAAAGTGGGAGGGATTTCAATACCATATACCTTTTGTTCTTCCATACCTGCCTGCCCGTGGTGCAGATGAGATAATACATGATTGCTTACCCTGCACTAGTTGTAAGTATCTTAAATGCAGTGATAATGGAAAACTGAATTAAAGTATTTTCCTAGGACACAGAAATGAAATTCCTTAGATTCAGGCTTTATATGGACTGTGTTTCTTTTAATAGATGTGTGGGCCACCAACCTTTTGCAGCATCTCAGAACTTTTAAATGGAATGTAGAGTTTTTACGTCTATATTGTGGCATACACATTCATCCTTGCTTCCTCTCAGAATATATACTAGCCCTATTGCTGTCAAGTGGTCCCTAACAGCCAAGAGCTCAGGGAGAGTTTTTGTACATTAACAGTAATAATTAAAAATTAGGAACCCAGTGCACCACTAACAGAAGTTCCGTTGTAATGTCACTTCTGTGTTGTCCTTAATACTTTTCTCTGACTTAAACGTAAAACTGAAAGACAGATGATTTGGGCTGCCTTCTTGTGGTCCCATAGATAACACTGTATTAAAGGAGAGAGATTTAATGTGTAAAATAACAAGTAAAGGTAAATATAAATGATATTGCCACAAGTTGGATATTAGAAAGTTTTGAGATTGTTTAGAGGATAGTTGTTATTTCAAATTAAATCTATAAGTTCATAAAGGGAAAAAAATGTAATGGCGCAAAATTAAGAAAGGGAGATTGTATTGACTTATATTAGGATTGTCAGCTTTCAGCAACACAGAACATTTAAGCCTTTTCATCAGAAGATTTGAAGCTTCTCTTTACTTCCTCCATCTGCTGAGAGGAGGGTGATGTCTTAACCGGTATCTCCAAGCCAGGATGGTTAAATGACCTGGCCTATTCCATGGAACAGTTTGGTCACAGCTTGGGATAGAATCAAACTCTGATCATCTGAAGAGCAGCAATGATTTGCTTTACTATCACTGAAGTTTTACTCATTTGGTCTGTAATCAACTAACATGACGTTGTTAATCCAAAGAGAATAGGTTGGAACAGTTAAAATTTCCATTTCAACATCCCTATATGTACATACCCTCTGTATTCATAAGACGGAAATTACTGTGTCTTTCTTCTTTAATATTTATATACATATAAGATTTATATATATGTGTGTGTATATTTAGGAAGTCAGCAAGCTAAAGGGTTATTTATATACCAGTGATATGCTGATACAGTCTTCAATAACAGGAACACAGTATGTTCTCCTAAGTCCAGCATTGCAGACAGTCTAATTCTTGCCAGATTCCCATAAAGTAATGTTGATTGAGTAGGAAGTGTTTGGGCGGTATAGTTCCCAATTACACAGAATAGTTTCCATGCAAAGCATTTTGGGAAGGCATGGCATTAGCTAAGGGAAAAACCTCTTATATTTGTTTGCTGTTGGATATGAACCCAATTAAATTATACAGCTTTGTGTTGATTGTTCTTTGTAGTTCACAGTACAATTATATTTAGTTATGTAATGGAGAAATATATTCATGACATGACATTTCTCACACGAGAAAATTTCAGTGTCTTTTATTCCATTATATTTTCCATGACCATGGCAAAATGGGCATATATCACTATGGATCAGTGCTGTAATTTAGATACGAAGCAGTCAAGGGTAGATAATGCAGTCTGGGATGTCGAGTGTGACCAATCATAAAATATTTTAAGGCGCATCAGATTTGGTACCTGCAGTTCACAAACATTTGTGCAATGCCTTTTTAAAATAATAATTCTTCTGAAGATGACTCTCTGTTCTTAGACTCTGAGCACTTTGAGAAAGATAATCGGTAAAAATATATACTATTTTTAAAAAGATGTTTGCTTTCCCTTTCTGCGCATGTAATTGCTCTTGTGACAACTTTATCCATGTTCTGTGCTGGGACATGAACTAGTCATATCTTGTGCATTAACCAAGGATTCTTATTTCTAAAGGCATCCTCTGATGCCATCAGTGTTGAGCTGTTGCAAAGCTTTGGCAGTGAAAGGTAAAATGCTCTGATGCTCAGAAGCTCTAACGCGTTCCAATGTCTCCTGATCCGCACTTGGGAAATTCTAAGCGTTGGCTTTGCAAACTGTTTATTATATAATAGTGTCAGAATAGCTTAATTTGATAGGCCGAGGAAATATAAAACAGGGCAAGCAGGTTATTCATTCTTCAGTTAAAAGCTGCAATAATATGGAAGGGAGGCAAAAGTGGCCATGAGTTGATTATAAAAAATAGGTTGCATCTCCCTTAAATTAGGTTGTACAGGGTGAGTTATCATATAAATACACTTTGCCCTCTGGTGTTTCTAACTCCACTATGTTTTTATGTCACGTTATGTTTTCATTCAGTCTTTGTATTTCAGCACCATGCAAAAACTAGTAAAATTTTGTCTGTCTCGTTTTGAAGAAACGCTTCCATTAAAATATGCCCTACGCTAAAATGATGTGGATTGTTAGGGCAGGTTCAATGCAACAACCGTATGTCATGGTCTCTGTGATATGCTGGACTAACTAAATGCGCACAGACTATTTCTCCTTTGCCTGCTTTTGAATGGACTGTGAAGAGCAAGAGTAGGAAGTGGGGGCTATGGAAGAGGGAACGCTAATCTGACTCATCAGCTGTCAGAGTAAAACCAGACTGTTTGCTGGGCTTCTTACAAATAGGTGACGACCCCCCCATACACATAGACTTTCCTGACAGCAGTGTTTAGTATTTGTCTGCTTCCTCCTCCATTCCACACCCATATATCCGCTTGTGGCTGTGGATATGAATGAACCGTACTAGCAGCAGTATTTCTGCCCCTTTTTTATTGCTTAATACTGCAGATCTGCCACAGTGTCCGTTTCTTGCAAAGCGATAATGTGAGGGATGTGGTTGTCAGACAAAAAATCATCAGTTTCTTCCACAATAACAAGAAGTTTGATTTTATATCGTAGTGTTCTTTTGTCTATTATTGTACTCCTTAATATCTTTTCTTAACTCCCTAGATTGTCAAGGAGATCTTGAGACTTAATGAGGATCCTAATGTGCAAGGCCTTGCCCTTGACCTCCCAGAAAGTGCATATAGCAGCAAGGTATTAAATGCTGTGAAACCGGAGAAGGATGTGGATGGGTAAGTGAAGCAGTGAGAAATCTTGTTAGAAGAAGCAAGGCTGATTGCTCTGTAAAATCAGTTTTCCCCACTGCTTTTTGCTAATGGATTCCTCAGTCACTGTGTCTAGCTGTGTTGTTGAGCGGTGGTAAAGGATGCTACTAAATCTATCAGAAGTCTTTTGCTGGAGTCATTTTGATCATAATGTTTTTAATTTTCATATGCTCTGTATCCAGGAAGTGATTCTTCCAAAGAAATCAAAAAATGCTACTGATATATTTAATTAAGGTATTTTAGTACTTCAGTAATACAAATGGCAGTCACACAAAAATGTAGTTTTTGAAACTGGATTTGTGGAAAAGTTGCATGGAAGGTTTTAAATTGCTATAGCACTTGCTTCTGGTGGGGAAGAGAACTATGATAGTTTGCATCCACTACCATGACTTTCCAATCAATCTCGAGTTGCGCCGCTATCTGGAGAGTCCACTGACATAATTTAGATGCCCAGGCTACTATTTTGCTGCTTTTACCCTCTTGCAGTCTTCCTGCTCTCAACTGCAGACCGCTGCCTATCATTTCTTTTCCCTTTCTGCTTTTCTATCATGTCAGGCTGGATTGTGAAAATCTTGCTAATGAGTTGACTTTCCATTATCCAGAGCCCTGGAGATGGGCAGAGAATGGAAAATTTAGATAATACTTGCGTATGAGAGAGAATCTGACTTCTCCTCAGCAAGTCAGTTTAAGTCCGGAAGGATGATTTGCCTCTGGTTCGACTTTGCTGATCTGGTTCCACAGAAAGCTACTTAGAGGTTTTGGCATATGTGCTATGGCTATCCCAGCACAAAGAATAGCAAGCTGTTTGTATATTGTGCACTCATTTTATTCTTCTAACTCACGAACCCCTTTTCCAGTATTTCTTGAGGCTTGTTGTTTGTCTAACTAAAATGTAGGATGATACTAATAAGCCACAGTACATCACTATGGGAGGATTTACTTTTATGAGGCATGTTTTACTCTGTTCTAACATGGGTTATAGCTAATCACAAGAACAATATTGAGGATTAATATTGCATTCTTTTTTAATTCCCATGTGTTTCCATGGCAGATTATCTGATGCAAACCTAGGATGCTTGATACGTGGGGATGCCTATGACTGTTTAGTTTCTCCTACTGCCTGTGCTGTGATGGAGGTTCTTGAAAATTTAGGTGAGACATTCTGTGGTAATTCTAGCATTAGTGAAATCTTCATTTTCTCAGTAGTCCTGACTGAGACAAGTATAATCTCGTTTTGCTTTGTGTCTTCTATTTTGTTTTGTTTTCCCACCTTTAATATATTTGCCTCCTTCTGATAAAGAACCTCAGTGACATTTGAATGTAATAGCCTCAGAAACAGGTCTTCCGTTTTACGGTATTTGGAGATGAGGCAGGGATTACCTGCCATCAGCAAATTCTATTTCACTGAAGTCACTTGAGGCATCTCCAGAACCAAAAATATTTTAAGTGCAAAGATCACTAGGGATTTCATGTAGCTTTTTTGATTAGTGTAAATACTTGGACAAATCCAAGTCTGCCTATAAATAACTAATGGATGAATCTTTTGTTTTGGGCTGTACTGCGTAAATGCTAACGTTTAAATGGCAGATGTAAACAAGTGAGTTTATAGCTCTTGTAAAGACAGTGGTAGTTTAAGGCACTGTTTCAGAAATACTCTCTCTTGTGGTGATGCAGAATTGTTGAGACAAGGATTTATGTAACTGAACTGTAAACATGTAGTAAAATGTACTTAGTTACAAATATGGATGAAAGAATACATGAAAACAAAATACCAGAAAACCAGAAGAGCAATATCCACTGACTAGAATTAAAGAATCACCAGAGTGCAACTTAAAACGTATAGTTGTGTATTAGTTCACGGACTCTGAAAGAGTCGCCTTTAATGCTGTAGTTAACGTGGTTGTGCAGGAACACAAGAGGAGTTGTCTTGTAGTGATCGGGTTCTTTTTATTGCTTTTTTTTTGTTTGTTTTTTAAATTTCTGACCTTAATGAAAAGAGAAGAGAGTGGGAGGGGAAGTCCAGTTAAATGCTCCAGCTCTGTGATCCAGTGGAGTTTGGTGCTTAATGCCTTTACAGCTGAGGGCAGCTTAAATGACTTGCTTGCCTTGTGTCACACAGACGGAAAGAAAGTGCTACTTGTGGGAGCCAGCGGAGCCCTGGGAGCCTCCTTGCAATGTATGCTGCAGCGGAGAGGTGCGATGACTATGAGCTGCCAGTGGAAAAGTCCTCAGCTCCAGAACAAGGTGAGCGTGCCTGCCAAATACTCGGGGGTCACCTAGCATCTCCACATCCGGCTGGTCCGTTTGTCAGTGAGTGCTGCGCTGGTCCAGCCCTCTGCCCTTCACGAGAGGGAGTCTTCAGCACAGATTGTCGCCGTTTTGGTAACGGATGGCATCCGAGCTAGCCAGCGGCCAGATTAGGTTAGGACGCTTTTTCATCCTTCCTGTTTGTTCAAAAATTGTTACTCAGGCAAACAGATATTCTGTATATTCTATACCAGAATATTATATGCGTAGCAGAAGCTGTAAACTTCTTTGTTCTGCAGCAGTAGCTGTGTCAGAGAAAGAATTCACAAAGTTTAAAACAAACATCCCTCAGTGCAAGAAAGAGACACTTGCTTTCTTCTTGTTTTGCAACATAGTGATTCATGTAAAGTTACCTACACTGAATTTATATGTCAAATAATTTTGCAAGTGCATATTTTGGGACAAAGAGGACCAGGATCTTTTCTTTAGCCTTGAAAAAAACAAAAATGGAAAAGGATTCGGTGAAATTCATGGGATTTAATTTGAAGGATTTCATTTAGACTTTGTGGTTGCTTTTTGCAGAACTTTTAGCAACAGTTTGGAAGTCAGTCCAGCGTCACGTCAGGCTTCCCAGTTTGTTCTTTAATCTCTCATGCACGTTTCATAGAATAATGTAAGTGGGAATGTGTTGTACTTTGTATATGTGTACAGGGTCCCAGTTCAGCCTGCAGTACGCCACAGTACAGACTCTAGTAATTAGCTGTAGAGGGGGTGCACGTTATTCCTGTGGCTTCATTCCCAAATCCGTGTTTGGGTGTAAGGTACAATGAGTAAAGTGTTATGTTGTATTTCATAGCACGTGCCACAAGGTGGCAGCCAAGTCAAAATCATTATGTCAGGCAGCCAGGTTTTGAATTCGAGGACAGAACGAGGAAATACATTTTGCATTCGTTTGGGCAGCTGTGATAGTTAGAAGGTTCTTTGGCAAGCTTATATTTTCACAGCTGCTGATGTTTTTGTTAGGCTTGTCTTGTTTCTGCCTTTTAAGTGACTGACAACTCTTGGGAAACATATGCTTCTCTCAGAGATGGAAGCACTATAAGCTTCATACTAAGTCTGTCTCATTCTTTAATTATGTCTCATTGCTCGCGTTTGTGCTTAAGGACTGCGTTCTCTGATAGTGGATCAGCGAGAGGGATAGCCAGGGGTGTTTTCACTGGTTCTGGTTCACAGCACAGGATTTGGTCCAGGCTGGAGCTCGTTGGGCTGTGCTGCCTATATGCTGTAGAAAGATCCATTTCCTTCCATCCAGATGCTTTCCCATAATCACGCCTTGCTCTTTGGTATTCCCAAGCTTACCTCTCGCAGGAGGTCACTGATGGGAAACAGAGTATGAGGCCTAAGCAGGAAGAAGTTTGGGGCTTTACACATCAGTCTTCCCAAGTTCATTTTAACTTTTGGCAGTAAAGGAGTTTCTGCTTTGCCTGGAGGTCTAATCAGCAGAGCTCTGGGGAAGCTCACCTTCCTCTTTTTCATCTCTGTAAGCCTGGAGCACCGTATCACCGATAGTCCTGATGGACCTGGCTGGATGCAACTCTGTGAGGAACAGCTTAGAGATAAAAATCTAATGCCCCCGCACAAGATTGCCCTATACCATGTTCCCAGCAGCCCAAGAGGCAGAACCCAAGCACAGATTTCTCACCAGACAGCTAGGCGTTGTTGTCTAGTGGCAACCTGTATTAGAAGTACCATGTTGTTAAATAATGTGATTATAACCAATGATACGAATCTGTTTTCTCTTGCTGGTTCAAAACCCTGGTTTGTTTTGCTGAAATTAACTAAAAATAGTTCAAAGCGCCACAAGGTTTCTCTTAAGGTTTTTTGTTTGAATTTCGAGTAAGCAAATATATTAGTCTGTGCAGAGGTTTTTCCAAGACTTTCGAAAAATTAGTTCTCATTTTGGTTTTGGTGCATAATATGCTAACTTTAGACATGATTGCACTCTTTATTTTCTACTTCCTCTGAATGTAAAACCTCTGCAATAACGTTCTGTGTCCTACTGTTTGGAGGTATAACCTACTGTAGAGTAATAACTTCACTTAGCTGTATGAACATTTCACTGAGATGCGTTCATTTGGCAGTACATACAATGAAACCAAAAATTAAACTTAAGGCTAGTGTACCTTTTTTATCTTAATCCATTTGCCAGGCCCGTTTGCACGGAAGCACAAACCCCAAACTTAATGATGTAATGCATTTTTTAAGCAGGTATTCTATTACCTTAGACTAGCTCTGTTGATTTGTTCTTCTTTTTGAAGGGTAGCATAACTACAACTGTTTTCTATAAAAATTCTGCTGACTTAATGAGATATGTAACACTAATCTTGTAGATTCTTTGGATCAGGTTTTGTATTGGAATGGACTTTTTATTGCTTCTTTCACTTGCGCACTTTTGCAAGAATGTTTTGAAAATGATCAAGACACAAGTATGTTTTAGCTTACCTTAGAAAAAGTTTAACAGAGGTACAGCGGTAGCTCTGCCAACAGGCAGTATAATATCATCGACCATCCAACTTGCAGCGTAGTAGTTGTGCTCTTTTCAAGCAGGTCTTTTGTGTCCCGTGTCAGCAAAAGGAAATAAAATAATGGGACATTTTAATTTATTCACTTTGACTTACATGAATAACTGACACACTTTACATGTTCTTTTCCCTCTCCACTTTACGTTTTGTTATGGTGAACAGATAATGAATGTTTCCTTCTGTTCCATTTTGGATTTCCTTGACTTTAACTATTAAAAATAATCATCACTGTACAGCTGAGCTATGTCCTTTAACACTCTTAAGCTTCCTGGATTTTCAGATAAAATCACTAGTGAGAGAAAGCAGTATATTTTGGAAGATTCTGGCACAGCTGTGCATAGTTGCCATGCAGAGGTGCTGTTCTTTCTGCATTCATACATGTTGCGTGTAAAAATGGATTCTGAAGTAAGGTATAAAGACTTGAGCGTTTAGGTGGAAATAGGTAAGATGTTATCATTCTGTTAAGCTTTGTGTAGATAGTTCTTGAAAGCACAATCCCTGCAAAGTGTCTTGAGAATGACCTAGCCATAGATTTTCAGGAACATCTCACTTCACAGTAATGTTTAAAAGATAACCAAAACTTGATACAATGTTATAATTGAGGAACGGAAACCAGAACCTGCTTAATCCTTTACTGTGTTAGAATTAGAGTATCTTTGTAGTTTGAAAGTAGATTATCAAATAGATGCAAATTGGCCAATATAGATTATTATCTTGCCACAAAACGTGAATACCTATGAGGAAATCAACTGAGTCATCTTATGGGTAGTCCATATGTGAATCACATTATGCCTACTTTAGGAAAGCTGCTCTCCTGCAGTTCTCTTATGAGAACTAAGACTTGATCTATGTAGACGTAATTTGGGATGAAAAACTTCTTTGTAAAAGACTGATTAAAAAGTATGACAGTGATTCAGCTAAAATGAGTGACTTGGGAAGGTGGGGAGGTTCTTTTTCAGGTTTAATAAGAACCTCTCTTGGCCACCGTCTACTCTTTCTTCAAGTCAACACTTGAGTTTCAGTCTACTAGGCAGGTTTTAGTCATTTGCTGCCCTGTTATCTTTACCTTGATAAGACCAAGAATCTTAGTGCTGGCAGAAGAATACATTTCACGTTGTTGGGCACGAGTAAATGTACAAGTGTGTGAGAACAACTGTACAGATCCCGTGAAAGGAGAGAGAGCCTATGTGACAGTTCTAACGATGATTTTGTAAACTACGCGAGTATTTCTCTTTCGACATTTTGTGTTTCGACACTGTATGTTCCTTGCATTTTGAATCTTACCTCCCACCTTGTGAGCTCAAAGCACGCTCTGCCAAAGCATACGTGGAGATAGGCATGAGCCTGCAGTAGAGATGCCCAGCAGGGCCCCGTGGGACTGACAGGGAGACAGGGAAGGAAGGGTCCCCAGCCAGTGTCTCGTGCTGCGCTGTGAGCTGCAGCGACAGTGTGGCTGTGGAGGCCTCTAGCCAGACAGAGCTGCGAAACGCCCGAGTTGGAGACAGGCAGTTGAAGAGACTGCATGTTGTCATTATGAGCAAGCCTAAGAGAAGAGTGAATAGAGCATAATAGAACATTTCATGCGATCGTTGCAATTCCAGAAAGTATGCCATGATGATCCTTAGTTAAAGTGCGGCATTTCTTGGATTGCTGGAGTTGTTCAGAAAGGCAAGTGTGTTAATGGTGATAAGCAATATTATGTAGGTTTCTCTATTTTTGTTTGTTTTGGTTTAAAAAAAAAAAAACTAATGAATTTTGTGTTTTTTTTCCCCTGCCCCCTTTTTTTTTTTCAGTTGATATAGCTTTTAAGTATGTGGAAATAAAAGCAAATGTTCTGCCAGGGTTTTTAATCACCTCACAAGTGATACTGTTTGGAGTAGTTTTGGTAGTGGCTAACCTGCATACCTTGGTGAGCTGTGTAGCCGGTTGTATGTTACTGCGCAGCCTGCGCTTCTGGGCTTGCTGTGTAACCACGTATCCAAGAAGGGTGGTGATTTTTAGAAGCACCACATTTACTGCATGTGCATAGTGTGACTGCATTGCTCATGAGCTGCACAGAGTATAGTTAAAATTGCTGTGGTTGAAGTGGAAATAGATGTGTAAATTGATGTTTAAAAGGAGTTTTTTTCATAACAGAATTGTGGGAAAACGCTGCATCAGTTTCTTGTTGCTCATCATATCTATTACATTTTAACTAGCCTAACTTCAGACCCGGGAAACTAAGTGCATTTCAAAAACTAAATTATTTTTTTCTTTGATCATGAGTTTAAAAGCAGATTTTGTAGCAGTCACTTTTAACTATGAGGAAATGAAATATTTATGCAGCCCTTATGACAAAACAGGTTTTCAATTATCTGGCATATACAGTTACTCTGTATCATTATCATTAAATGCTTGGCTTGAATGTCAGTATTGTTGTTTTAACATTTGGTGTTCTGTCTTGGGAATGGGTGGTTCTTCTTAATCTGCTTCTACTTAAATCTTGTTGGAGAGAGTCATATTTTGCTATGAGGTAAGGTTTCAGCTTATTTATTGGCACTGCTCTTCCCAACTGAAAAAATATTTGTCGGTGAGAATGCAGAATTCTCCCTGAGCGTTAGCTTCCTTTGTCTTCCTCGTGCTGCCTGTTGCGTTGCGGGTTGTTTGGTGTGATGCTCGTCGCTCCTTCCACTAGCTTGAGCGGTGGGATGCGGTGGTTTCAGCAACTTAACAATGCATAACTGGTTATCCTGTGGCTGCATTTTAGCACTTGTCAGTGTCTTCTCAGCCTGTTGGCTATGGTTGCCTGTAGCATCTGGTTTGTATCAGATACATCCTCTGTCAGGGGACTATGCGGTACATTTGCTAGGGAGGTTGGATGTGATGATTTCATAGGTCTTTTCCATCTCTAATGACTGTGATTTATTTCTGATTTAGGAGGTTAGTCCTGCACATGCCTCCAAACACCTTTTTTTTTCCTTCTCTTTTCTTTCCTTTTTTTTTTTTTTTTTTTTTAAAGTGATTTACAGGCAGTTAAAAGAGTAGGTTATAGCAAAAGAAAAAAATGGGTAGGGGGAACTTCTTGCAAGTGAAACCAAAATGCCCCAATGGAGTTCATATAAATCTCAGTCAAGGACTCCTAGCATTCTGTAAATAACTATTTAGCTTTCAAAGTCAAACAAGTTTCTGGATAGAATTAAAAAAAACTTCAAGTGAAAAAATAATTGTTCTGTAATGTGCTTGTCATGTATACTTTATTGATTCTCTAATAATTTTTTTTACTACTTGCAGGCAAAAATACTTGTTTATAGCAAGAGTGTGACAATTATTTCTGTACCTTTTTTCCTCTATACTTTGTTTTTGGAAAACAAAAAACAGAAATCATGGGAGAAGGCTCTGAGATCAGTATATCTTCATCCCAAAGGATACTGCTCTGTGCCACATGAAACGACTTTTTACCGGGGGGAAGTGGAACAAGGCAGAGATGAGATGAAACGTCTGGCTGTTTTTTTCTCATGTATTTACGGATACATGTGACTTTAGCCATCCAAAACGGTGTTAACATTGGCTACACAAATGATTGTGTTAGACTGTTAAGAACATTTTGCAAAATTACAATTGGTAGTCATAGAGATGAGTATTTGCTCAGGCCAGTTGTTCTGGCATTATAGTTTCTTATGACAGAATTGATCCAATGTACGTTGGCTGAATATTTCTCAAAATTATTACTTGTTGCATACAACTCTCAACTGATCAGAGCTTTATGATGTAAAAAGTTGTTAACCTTTCTCCCAAAGGCTTTGCACGGGATGATATACCTGGCTTTCAGTATATGTATTACATATAATACATATGTATTATAACTGCGAGAATATGAATAATTTTTTTTTATGGAAAAGACTGGACTTGTGTAACTGAAGATAATCACTGATTTTCTCTGTGTTTGTTGACATTGATGATTGACTGTGTTAACGGCAGCGGCTGCCTGCTCTTGCTGGGAAAGTACTTTGAGTACACAAGTCACTGCAACATCTTTTTATCCAAAGTTGCTTGCAAATTCCTCAGTATAATTTGACTTGACGCTGGCCAAGCATTACTTATCTGGCCTTCTAGGAGTGGCATGTAAGTCAATGCTTGCACCAGACACAGGAATCTAGATAATTTGAGTAAGACTGAATGACTGTTTGGTCTGTACGTTTGCAGGCAATCATAGCAGTGTTACAGGGACTTTTGACTGAAGCTTGAACCAGCTTGTAGCATTAGTCATTTGTCAAGCAAGCAGACCTTCTCCCACACTTTTGGCTCTGTTTCTACGTGTTGGTCTCCAAAGGAGGGTTAGACCATCCCTGTGTCCTCTGAGGAGAAGATGGAGCTTTCTTAGCTTTCTGCCATTTCCGCCACAATTATGTTCTTCTCCCCTCCTTGATGCTCAGCTGTGCCAAAAACTGCTTTACTGATGGAATTTCTAGCTGTTATTTCTTGGCAGGAATGTCAGGCAGGATTGCGTCAGAGCGCTTTTGGCCAAAAAAGAAGCTGGAACACTTGTCAGTCACAAATCAATTCTTAGAGAGGCTTGCGGGGTGTGTGACACTTGACATTTCTTTACATTTTTCAAAATACTTCCAAAATCACTGTATCTCTGCAATAATTTCTATACTTAGGCTTGAGCTAGTGTTGTGCCTGGATTTCCTTTTTTAGTGCATCTTTATACGCCTGCCTCCAGTGAGAGCCTTCCCTTATCTCCTGTTTATTCCGATAATTGTTACAGACTCCTGTTTGAAAATAGGGAGGAAAGGAAGACGCTTATGTCTTTGGTTATGAGAATTTTTTTAGTAATATTTTTTGCCCCAACATCTGCATGGTTGAACTAAATCAGAGGCACGGATTAGCAACCATGAATTGATAAGGGGAAAAATGCTTTAATTGCTATTCTTCAAAGACATCAGTGTTTGCGGATCAGGTCATCTGGTATTCTGGTGAACTGGCCTGGTGTTTTACTTTCAGATAGTCTGACTGTACTCTTCGTAATTAATTATTTACTGTCTTTCAACCCTGCTCTTTCTTAAGTTTCTCCACATTACCCTGTTGGACAGTGCTTTGGACAATGATAGGGCTTTTTCTTTGCAATATGTAATCTCCATTAAATGTTATTGTGCTGACTCTGACCCCGCTTGCACAACTTCATGGTTTGTTTCCCTGACTTAATTTCAGTGCAATTGTTCATAAATCAGGCCATCGATTTACATTTTTTTCTTTTGTCTGGAAATACTTACCTCAAAAGACAATTATTGTATAAGTCTAATATAAATTGGGTATTCACGAAAATACGCCTAATCTTAAAATGCCTTTTTTTTTTTTTTTTTGCTGTTGATAGCTTCATCATGCAGATGTGGTGATAGTCAGCAGTACAAAACCTGAAGATACTCCAGTCAGCTGGATAAAACCTGGAACCGTTATTGTCAATTGTTCTCGTGACTTTCAATCAGGTAAGAGGAGTTAAAAGGGAATAGTTCTTGAAAGTAATGTGATGAGTCTTTGAAGTAAGCGTATGACATGTTGGGGACAACAAAGTGTGATTAAAAGCTATGTATTTGGGAGAGGGCCCTTTAAAGTGGGTACCAGGGATATATACATGTGTCTCTAATATATAAATAGGAAAAAGATGTCAGATGACGGAAGAAACACTAGAATAGATTCTTCATACCGGGATTATATTTAATAAGTGATGATCCTGTGGATTCTGAGAATTCAGAGAGAAGACTTTCGGATCATCAGATGTGTAATTATTTCAGCATGTTGTCTGTTAAGACTTCAATGCCTCACCTGGGACATGGGGGAAAGGCAAGGAGGGCGAAAATGTCAGCTGTGATGTACTGCAAAGGTGTGCTTAAAGAATTGTGCAGGATGGAGTAGAAAACACATGAAGCTAAGTACAGGCAGAGTGTCTTCTATATTAGCTACTCCTATGAAAGAGTCTTGATTTTTTTTTTTTTTTCCCTCCTTAAACATAACTTAGCTTACTGTTTTGCAGGGAGGTAAGTATTCATTAATTTCTCAGTTGAAAAATGCTCAGTATTCTATTCGGGTTAGGACTAAGAACTTTTCCCAGAACTTTTTCTATTCCACTGCTAGAACTGTGTTTCCTATAAAATTCCTTAAACTACTATAAAGATCTTTATATGTTTTCTAGATTTTTTAATAGGATATTGTTTATGAATTTGACTGTTCAGTGTCCTGATGGCATTATATTGTGAATGAATAGGAAAATAAGGAAATATACAGGTAGTCTGATCAGTTAATATGCTTTTCTAAATCCATCATACCTGTGCTGATTGACATCTAATGATATAAAACTGGGATAATGGGCATAAGGCCAAGGAGAACTAATTTTATGGTCCTGAAGCTAGGTGTAGTCCCTGAGGACAAATTCAGCAGACACTCTAAACAGAGCCAGCTAATGGAACATCAGGCTCGTTCTAAAGCAGCTGCTATTCCTGTGCAAAGTGTGGCCACAGGAGGAGATCCTTTTCCGTCTTTTTCTTGATATCCACTTGATTTGAACACACACTGTGGATGTGGGAGATCTGTGTTAAATTTACCCAACTGTCCAAAGGCATTTGGACACTCGTCACCCTCCTCCCAGAACAGCGCTCTGGTCGTAATGGCTATTTGAGGGGGGTACTAAGCCTTATCTCTTGTTGATGCTGTGCAAGTTGGTGGAAAATAATTAATGTTTTGTTAAATCAAAAAGGAGCGGAGGGAAATTTTGACATACTATTCTAATAATTAGGAGAAACTATCTCTCTTCAGTGCCCACCTATTTTGCATAAGGATCATTGGACATAATTGTTAAGCATCCTTGGAGCAGGGGTTGGCAGATGGGTCTCCTCAGCAGGCACTCAAAACATACATACATACATACAACAAACATACTGTTTATATGAAGTAGGAACGGGGGAGAAAGGGAAAGGGGCACAGAGGGGAGGCAGTGGTGGTACAGCAGTAGTATCTAAAAGAAGGGAATGGCCCCTCCTCATTTTAATGCTTTTAAGCAGAAACTACTCAGGTGTCAGACTTGGAGGAGAAGGTGTGGGGCTGTGTTCACAGCCTGGAGATGAGCCCTTCCGTGTAGTCTGAAGGGGCGGAGCTGACCTCTCCCAGCTCTGCATGATGCCTGGTGTAAAAAACACCTTCAGGTACCTCGTTCTCCCCTTCCAATGCAGAGGGAGCCTGGGTCTTAACTTCAGGGACCTAACAGTTATGCGTTGTGACTGCACGACACTTCTGAAGTGCCTTCAAGCCTCAGCTGCACTATAGAACTCAAGATAATAGTAGTGTTTTGCATCCCTAAAAGAATGCTGTTAGGGCAACTGCGTTCAAACATTGGGAGATGTTCACATACCACAGCAACATTTGTCCTTAAGGCAGGAAATGGACTGGTGGTAACATTTGGCATGAGCCTATAGATTTCTCTCCATTTATCTAGTTGTGGGCTGTGTGTTAAGGATAGTGATTCTTTTGAAAGGCATTATGAGATTTTTAACAAGATAGTGTAAATAGGAACTTATCTACCAAATGTCATCTATCTTTATGCTTCTGCTTTTGAGTCTGCCAGAATCTTGGAGAAACTCTGAAAGAACAGCAGAAACACATTTTAGCAGCTTTAAGAATTGTTGGCCTGAAGACATCCTAGAGAGGTACACGAAACACAGGTGTCTGTTTGACAGGAAGAATGCACTCAGTTTAATTGCAAGATATTTATTAAAAGCCTATTGTGGAACAATTATGACCTTAGAGAAACCAGTAAGTCTTCTAAGTGATTCTTCACTTTCAGTACACAGTGAAATCTGTTTGGCTGAGGTGCTCAGAAATTTTTCTGGGTTTTCTCAATGTCCAATTTAACATCTGTAGGGTCACAGGAATTAAATGAAGCCTGAAGGCAAGAATGGCCGTGAAATGACTTTTATTCTTGCTAGCTGGTGGCAAGATTTCTGTCTCATGTAGGTATACATGTAGCCTAGCACACACGTATGTTTTAAAAGCACTCAGAATTTGCAAAAACATAGTTATACTGGGCAGGTCTAATAATGTAAGCCAGGAAAGCAGAACTAAAAGTGCTTGCTCTACAGTGACTGAACAGTTTTTTCAAAGCCTTTATTTTTAATCTGATAAAAGTTTTAAGTGTTTTTAATTATAAAATGTTCATATAATTTCTATCAATGCAACACCTTGTTCTGCTGTAGTAATGATTTTGGTATGAAGTGAGTGGTGGTAGCCTCTTACAGCAAAATGCTTTATATGTAAATCTATAGGAATTAGGAATGAGTTTCTGAAAAAAAGTTAAGGATGCCTAAATTTATGGAATTTGATGTCACCCTCCTTCTGGGTCACTTGAAAGGTCCAGCCCATACTGTGTAGTATCTTAGTGGGAAATTCAACCGTTTCTCCATTGCTTCTCCGCTGTGACCCTACCGGACTGCCTGAACAGACAACTTGCATGTTACTCTTACCCATCTGCACAATAGGGTACAAATAGGTGGGTGTAGGGGACATTATTAGGGTGAATCAGTGCGGGAAACACAACATCTGTGGTCCAGCTGATCTTCTGGCCTAAATCCAACACATGGAGAACTGTTCTAGCCCCCAGCTGGAAAATCTGTCTGAAGTGAGTTTTTGCAGTCCTGTGGACTCAAGCTCATGTGTGCATCAATTTTACCTCTAGCTTCACCTTCACTCCTTGAAAAAGCCTAGCTAGTCATCTTTGCGTAGTGAGTGTGTAGCGTAGGCAAGCTGTGAGTAGTTTATTGAAGGGAAATCTCCAGTTCCAATATGTATTTACACACATGCTATCTCTGCCCTGATAAAGAAGTCATTTTAAGCCAAATAACATAAAAAGTTGAAATGTTTCTGTAAAGCACAGCTGTCTGAAAGGGGATTTTAGCTTCATTCTTCTTACTTCATTTGTCTCTGGCAGCTATCCCAGTCTGGTCTCAAAGCAACAATAGTCAACTTATGACTGTGATAGACTGTTACAACTTCCAGTAAAGCTCTGTCTTTGGGTCTAAAACTGAACACCTCCAGAAATTTTGTTTTAAACATAGTAAGTGTTAATACAAGTAGAAGGCTTTTTTAGACGCCTTCTTATTTTGAGTTTAATGTTAGGACTGTCATCTTACTCCTTGGTTAGCTTTGTCACTGAAGTACAGATGCCAACTGGTGATAGTATTTGAGACAGGTTTAGAAAGCGAATTGAACGAGGCTGAGTGTATCTGCAAACAGGGTCTCTTGCTCTCTTCGTGACAGCTGTGAGAGTGGGTATTGCATGGCCCAGTGCTGTGCTGGCTCCTCTGCACGTATGTCTGCCACGCTGATTGCAGCTGGTGATTTCTGTGTCCTTCCACTATGGGGACTTTCATTAGCAAAGGTGATTATGCAAGATAATGTGAGCATTTTATGGTAGGTACAGAAGGGACAACTACAGTGAGAGCTTGGGTAGGTCAGGAATTGCAGTTCAGTTCCCCTGAAGGGGAAAGGCTAAAGTTGTCAGTGCACAATCGTTATTTTTTATTATACTTATGTCTACACCCTTCAGAATGAGACTAAGGCCTTGATGCACCCACAGAGACTAAGTTGTGAATTTTGTCTTGGAGAAACTGCATCTAGACAAAAGTTATTAAGAAACAACAGAAGAGCGAGCCAAAAGGAGGGCTGCAGGAAAAAGACAAAATAATACATTTAGTCAGAGTAGCTAATGTGTGATTATTATATGACATGTTGCCACTAGAAACACCCATGTGTCAGTAAAACTGGAGCCATTGTAAATTGTATAGACTCTTAAGAATGTCCGCTTTTAATTTTAGTGTCCTGCCAGTGAAGAAAACTTTTGCTGATCAAAGTTTTGCATATTTTGATTTCAAATTTTAAATCTCATTGGATAATAATACTGTTCAATACTTTATGATCATTTCATTGTTTTCTTTCACTGAGACAGGCATATGAAAAAGAAGACAGTCTTTATCAAGTTCATTCAGGTGTTCTGTTAAAAATATAGGTAGCTCTTCCAATCCTAGTGCCTGTCAGGCTTTTTTTATTCCCCTCTCTGTTTCTTTTTGTCCAAAAGCAATTATTTGGATCCTGGAATTGGTTTCTGTTTTTTCTTATTCTCTTTTCAAGTATGTGCATGCTTTGTCAGTCGCAAGTGTATGTTTGCATCACGTGCGTTAGGGCTTACGTTTGGTGTCTGATTTTCACACTATTTCCTTGTCAATCTTCCTAGGTGATTTCCATTTAAGTATAAAATAAGCCATCTATAATTTTGGCATTGGCGTTAAGCTGCAAATCAACATGCAGAATTTTTTTTTGTTTGGGGACAGCTTTCAAATACACGTGCTCCCACTCACCAAAGCTCCTTGATTTGTTAGTGCAGTATTTTCATTTTACAGAGAAACACCACTGTGGTCAGCAAAACAACCATCCTGTTGAAAGTGATGTTTGTTCTCTTGCGATAGCAATGCGAATGCAGGTTAGTATAGCTTCAAACACTGTAAAATTTGGTCCTCTCTTTTGGGTTGTAGAAATTGCTTCTACATTTGGACTTTTTTTTAATTTTTGCTTTGCTCTTTTGAAAATCCTACCTACCTTCCATTTTAACAGCAACTCTGCAAACAGTTAATTAGGGTGACTAATGCCAGTTACATTTAGTTAGAGAAAGGTAAAATAAAAAGCATATTTATCATAATTATGATAATTATAGTCAAGCTTGCCAAAACCACTTGTATCAATAAACTAATGTTGCCTATTCTTACAAGGCAATTAAGGAATAACTATACCTGTGTGTGGTTTTGTGTCATGATGGATAAAAGGTCCAAAAATATATTGTTTTATGTGGAGGCAATTGTCATTCAGAAGGCAAGAGGGAATGAGGCCATTGCTGAACAATTAGTATCTTCCGTTCTTTTTAATGTGTGAGAAAATAATAGCCGTTCTCCATTTTACCCAAATAAAATCTCCAGCGCCTTATTTAAGATTTTTCTCTGCTACTTTCCTGTAAATGGTCTTGCCTCTTTTTGAAATCTGGATGAACAATACTGCCGTAATAGTGCAATGGATGTTTTTCTTTCATTCTACAACCGTGAAATTAAAAGACTCTTAAATTTGGTTGTTGTTAGCCTTTGCCCTGAATGTTCTTTCAGTGTAGTTTTGGAATCATTTGAAATTAGCGTTCAGCATTTATGATGCAGCTGGTGTGTGCTGTCTGTCTTGTTTAAAAACAGAACATGGTAAAAACCACAGAGAGATGGATCCAATCCCAGCAATACAGGAAGTGGGACCTCCGCTGCTTGAAACTTCAGCCCCTCTCTCCAGTGCCCAGGTAATACTTTTTAAAAAAAATAAAATAAAAGCTAGATAGCCAAGTGTTTAAATGGGACAACGAATGTGAAAAATGTCTGTGCTTGATTCTTTTTCATCTGCGTATGGGGACTACAGTACAGAGCGTGCCTTTTTGTTGCATGCCTTGTTGTGACCTTGCTCTGGTGTTTCCTCTCAATTTTTCTTTTCAGTATGTGCACGAGGGCCAAGCTTTATTTGACGAAGTCCTAAAACTGGAAGGTGAAGGCGTTTCAGTGAGGAAGGGAGGTGAAGCTTTGTGGAACAGCAACAGAAATACAAAATACAGAATGTTCCTAATCGCCAGGGCCTAGCGTGGGGAGATAGTTGTGGGGGGATTCAGGGCTCAGTGATTTCAGTGGCGTTTGGTCTTGTATTTATTTTCTTCCCTCAGCCCAAATGTTTTCTTCTGAATTAGGCTTTCAAGTTTCTGCATGTACTTGAAGGGCAGGAAGCGTGTTTATTCTCAGAAGCAGAGTTTTCAATCGGTTTCTTTCATTCACCTGCCAAGGCCCCTGTCTGGACCTCGGGGGTCTGGGTCTGCGCTGTCACCGGTGTAACGACAGCTCCGATGTTTGAAGCAGCCGCAACTCTTTGCTGTGCTAGAGACGCTGCTATCAATCGTTGTGGGCAATATAGAGAGAAAACGAGGGCTTGAAGTGAGGTTCTGACAAGTAGGAGGGCTTTGAAATTTGGGTGTGATTATTTGTATGTCTGCCTCTGGATTCCGCTGTTGTGTTTGGGAAAGCAGTAATGAAATGTGTTTTTCTTTTAAGCGCTCTGATTCAGTGTTCAGCACCTCTTACCAACAATTTCATGGGTTAGGGAGGCAATCTGGAATTTAGATGGTCAGAGAACAAGCATTTTCTGTGAGGGGGGGGGGGGGCTTTTTCTCAGCCAATATATAACATTGCAAGACTTAAATCCTGGAAAAAAATCTGTCCACGAATAATATAGTTAGGAATAAAACAGTAGGGCGGTAGATTATAGCATGCATTGTATCATGAGTGTGATGGGGGAAAAAACCCTCTCTCAAAAAAAAAAAAAAACCCCAACCCTCTGAGCCATTCTATTGTGTATGTTTAGTACATAAATATATATATAATATATACTAGTATATAGTATAACCAGTAATAGGATTTCCATTTTTGATTACTCTAGCTTAATATTTTTTCCCCTTTAAAATGTAAAGTAGCTCGTCAGATGGAAACTGTACTGCAAGAATATATGATCTTACAATACTACACAACTTCGTATGGAAGCAGATGTTTTCCTCATTTAAAATGAGGGAAAGCTGCTCAAGCACTCTAACTAGGAACATTAGCCTTTTGGTTTCTACGAGCTCTGGGTGTTAATTGTAGTCATTTCCAAAGATATTGGAAATGAGCTGAGGATTTCCTTAGAAATACACAGTAACAAAATTCCAGCACACTCAAAAAATCCACATGAATTTTTGTTTTAGCAATTCTTGTTCAGGCACAATAACCAGTGTTACACTTTTTCAACTTAATATTGAATAACATAATTTATTACATAATTCTAATATTTCCAATATAGAAAATATTTTATTTGCCAAACTAAAACATCTAGGTACAAATGCAGGCTTCTAAATGTTGGTTAATATCAAACCTGTAATTTCGTATTGTTTAGAAAATACTTTTTACCTGAAATAATTTACTAGACATAAACATTTCGTGTATATTGTTTAGCGTCATTAGTATTTAAGGCATAAATGCGAATTTGTTGTGGAATCACACCTTTCATCAACTTGTTAAATGATGGTCTCACCATGTGGTTAGTATTTGGAAGTAGGGACAGACTACAACTAACTTAATTCAATTGTCAATGTGTAATCTGTTGTTAAAGGGTTTCTGTTTTGTTGAAAATGTATTTGCCTTGAAGGCTCGTAAGATACCTTCAAGTGAGGAAGTGATGTCAGCCATGGTCTTAGCCAGGAAGAGCTGTAGCATCCACTATCAATTTTATCTGACTCCTAAAAATGTTTGTAATTGATCTAGAAATCCTCTACCTGTTAACTTATTCATAAACGTACAGCTAGGTCAGTTTTGCTTGTTCCACTTTTTGCTGGTAGTGGCATGTGCAGGATGGAAGAAGCACGATAGTTTCCTTTGGAAGGAAACTCTGTGAGGGAGGCATTTGTGGCTGGAGAGGTGGGGCAAAAGGACCATCCACCCACTTACTGCAGAGGGTCTTGAGAGTCTGTCCCGAGATTTTATCTTTTATTAAATAGATTGATATGATTGGTAGGGAGCAGGGAGGAAGGCAGACAAACTTTCTGGCATTCGAAGCTGTAGGTCCCCTCCTCACCGCCCGCAATATATCAATTGTCTTAATAAGAGATTAGGTCACCCTACAAATTTTGTCTTGCTTAAGTCCTTATGAGACTACACTGTCATCATTTTACCAGTATTTCTCTGGGACTTGAGCTGTTTTTATAGACAGAGTTCTCAATAAAAACTTTAAATAGCTTAAATAATCTTTATCGTGAGATGTTTGTAAGCCACTGCATCTTATGTTCTTGATAACGTTTTTTTACCTAGTTATGTTGGAAGTAAGGCATAAGAAAGGTGCAACTATATCACTTTATGCAAGAGGATGTGATTGAAAGTATGTCTTTGAAAGTAATCAGATTCCAGATTAGTAGAAGTGAACACAACAAAATGGTCTGCAGCCCAGCTTTTGAAGTGCCATGGAGCAGTAGCTTCTTGCCTTCTAGTGCTGGGTTTTGCCAGTGTTAGGATGGATGATTTCTGGGGTTCACTTAGCTGCTGCGTGGTGTGTGAGCGGGAGAAGTACCTTCTGGATTAGAATTGAACAATGATCCAGTTTAGGATATCTTCAAAGAATTGCAAGCAATTAAGTTGGCACAACCTGATCATTTGGTGGTGGATGCAAAACAGCTGAAGTTAACACCTGGAGTTGAGATTTGGCAGTAGTTCTGTATTCATCTGTGGATATTTGAGGTCTTGCAGACTCTGAAAAAGTGCAGGGCGTTAGCTTTGATGCCATTGCCAGATTCTGTCTTAAAAATATCGTAATCAACTGCAACTGCAGGAAGAAATTTAGCCTGGATAGACTGAAAACAATTGATCTCTTGTTAATTTTTTTAACCTGTTTTTTGGTAGCGTGAGCAGTTCAAAGTGAAAGGAGGTAACTTCTTGCATCCTGTGTGGCTGAGCTGTGAAACTTATTGCTGTCAGATCTTGCCATTGCCCAAAGCTTATATGGGCTCCAGGAGCAACTGAGTCAACCTCACAGAAGAGAAATCCTTAAAGGCCTTTTAAATCCAAAGTCTCCAGGTCTAGATCAGGAAATGCCAGAGCTAAGGGTGTTATAGGCTGGGGCAGTATGATGGCAAGGAATTGCTGTGTGCTTGCTCCACGCTTTTACTCTTGCCTAGGCTTCCACTTTCAGTCATTTTTGGAAATAGTTTATAAACTAGATGGACTTTGGCCCGAGCCCTGTACGTTAAACTCCTGCTGTGTGGCCGTTTTCAGCTTAGCTATGTTTCAGAAGAGCATGAATTGATCTTCACATGCTTTGCTTGTTTCCTCTCATTGCCTCTTGGGGGAGTAGCGAGGCTTAGCTTGCTTTGCTGCGTCCTCTGATGAAAGGAGCTAAATATGCAAGTATCGTGTTTAGCTGACTTGTTTATGTGAGTGTTGGCCAAGGAATGTATGTGCTTTTTAGTAAAGTGTTATGTGCTGAAATATCCTGGGAGAGAGGAGGAGAAAAACAAAGCCAGAAAGATGCATTCCAGTGGGACACGCTTGAACATCCAACAGACATGTCCCTAGCTTGATATGAAAGAATTACGTAATATTTGGAATCTGATTAAACAAGAGAACTCTATGAAATTATAACAATTAACAAACATTGCCTGTGATTTTCAATATTATATTAGGTGTCAGCTAGTATTTAGACTTGGTTAATAAAATGTGAGAGAGGATTGAAAACTGATTACAGTAACCTCATTGTTGGAGTGTTTGCTGTTGTTTTGTGCTCTGTCGTCGACCACCTAAGCTGAGAGAAATCTCCTGGCTCCTCTTTGTTTTCTTTTCCAGTGATATTGAGATTTCCCGAGCTCAGAGTCCAAAAGCTGTTGATGTACTTGCCAAGGAGATAGGATTGCTTACAGATGAAATTGAAATCTATGGCCAAACCAAAGCCAAAGTACGTTTGTCCCTGTTGGAAAGGTTAAAGGATCAACCAGATGGAAAATATGTTCTAGTTGCTGGGTAAGAATGCGCAGTAATGTGATTAATGTACACCCTTTCCACTCACAGTAAGATAAACGCACAGCTTGTTTCTTCTTAATATACTACACAAATAAAAACCTGAATGCTTTGTGTTGTATGTCACTCTATTCTGAAAGTGGGCAGTTGTTGACATTATTTCTTTTCTGAAGTAACACAACCTGTCTTCCAAAGCAAGTGTTATTACAGAAGTTAAGTAAATTTGTGGAAGATATTTTGTTCTAAGCCTCTTACATGTTGTCTTTAGCTGTGTGGCCTTCTTCTATTGTTTTATTGGAATTTAAAATGTTTAACTTGAATATTTAAGCCCGTGTGCGTTGTGGCCATTTATAAACAAACCTTAGCAGAAGCTACATGATAATCTGTTGATATTAATAATAAATACTTTTTTTATTGAAGAACAAATTACATAGTTAAGTAAACCATGTTTTTTCTCTGAAATGTAGACATGTCTCCAGGCAGGCTTATCCTGCTCGCTGTTCCCACGATTATAGAATATGCTATGCTCAACAAGAATTATGTGCTTCACTTCTGAATAGCAATTTTTTCTGCAGTCAGTAACACAATTATTTTTTCATGTATCTGGTTTGCAAAGTGGAAATTTCTTATTATGAACAGATACGTGAAGGGTTTCATTAATATTTTAATTGCAGTGTGTACCTTATGTTCCAAAATAACCTATATAGTTGTTTCCTTGTAAATAGGACCAGTCAGATCTAAAATGTCGTTTGGGACTTATCTAAAAGGAGAAGGCTGATCTCAACTGTCTTGCTCTGCCAGTTCCTCAGTCGGATAGCTTTCTGCAAACTGTTTGTTTTAGTACCTTCACGTGGAGAAAATGTGGATTTCTGGCGTTATCTGAGATGGAGCCGTTGCACATTGAGAGACCTCGGTTAGACCTGGGTTAGCAGATGTTAGTTAGAAAGCTGAGGCAGACAAGTTGTGAAGCTATCTTCAAAGATAACGCTATAGAATTATAAAGATGCTCCCGCAGGAATGCAGAACAGTTGTTTAGGAGAAGAAAATAATAGCTCGTTCAGCCTGGTTTCCTTTAGTAAGGTTTTATTTTGTGTTTTCTTTTATTAAAAAAAGAAAAGTAGATTCAGCATTTTATAGAGTTTGAGGAAGAAAGCAGCTACCATGTACTTTCAGGCTCATGTTGTCAACTACATCAATTAGGCACAATGTTGTAAGCTGTACCAGGCTTCCCTAGCAACGGAGTCTCACGTAAGCAGAGGCTATTTAAAGATCCCTGGAGATGGGGGATAGCATAAGGCAAAACTCCATTCAGATGAATTTTGCTTGTGTTGGATTCTGAGCACCAGTTTTTCTGTTTTTTCACACCTTTTCATGTCTCCCACTCATCTCTTTCAAGGGCAGTATCTCATGAAGTTCTATGAAAGCTGCTTTGTGGGCACAGAAACAGAAATCTGCATACATGAGGAAGAAAGGGCAGATTTTTTGACTAGCGAGGTGAACAACTGGGAGGGAATAGAAAATTGTGTCTTCATAAGTTTATATGCTGTGTATGAAGAGTGAACAGTGTTGCAGAAATAAACAGCTGGTTTTGGTACCACTATAATTTTATTATGGAATACGTTACTACTTGTAACTTCTCCAAGTCATTGCATCTCACACAGTGAGTCCAATACCAGTCTACCACAGAAGGGTTAGCCTGGAGGGCTTGGGAAAGATGACTACAACACTGGGACCTTTCTCTTCTGAGAGGGTTCTAAGATTGACTTTGAAATGTTATATAAATAAAAAAATACATAATTTGTATTTGTGTTCTCAGCTTGTTCTCATTTGCTGGGCTGATTGTAACAGAAGTGATTTTAAGAAAATTGGTGCACTGAATCTCATGAGGAAATGCTCAGTACGATGATGACTGAATACCACTCAAGTGCAGAAATTAGAGAAAGAAATAATATCCTAAGTTGCCTGCTTCATCTTCTCTTTGCCAAGGCAACTCAGCCCAAACCTACCCTTTGGATTATGTTTGCACAAACTAAACGAAGATATTTAGAAACTCTTTTAGAAGGTTGCAGCATAGGTCTTTAGAATAAATTTTTAGAACTTTGAGAAACTTCAAGGCTTACGCTTTTGCTTCTGGGTACTTGATCTGATGTGAAAGTTAATTTCCATGAGCAAGGCTAACAGTAAGTATGCATGTGTGTGTATTCTGTAAGTTGTAGGATCTCCATCATCTATCCATGATGTAGGCAGCAGCCTAAAATTCCACAGTCAAGCATAACTATTTCATAATGGGTTGGAATTATGAATATTTGGTGCAAATTCTCATCTTCTAGTTTACTCCTGATGTGCTAGAGATTCCCTAGTTGTTCTTCTGAATGGCAAACAGGAACCAGTATGTACCTTTGTATATCTAAGGATAGCTGCATTTATGACTTTTTAAAAAGTTGCTACTAATTGGGAAGTCTTATTTGCACAGTCTGAATGAACCTGGGCACGGCTTCTGAATGCACCCAGGCACAGCTAAATGCCTTATCTAATATGTGCATTGTGTGCTGAAAAACTGCAATTTGATTAACACATAATATCACTCAAAAATAGTCACACAAATGAAGACTTAGTTTCCTAATAACTTTTCCACTTAATTCTGTGAGGAAAAGCATGTTTTTCTACTCTTTTCTTTTCCTTTTTTCTTTTTTTTTTTTTTCCTATCTTATTTGATGGCTCATGTCAAGACACCCTGGGGTCAGACCCAGAATTTATCATGAAGTAATTAGTTCTTGTGCATCAGCTGCCTGTGTGCGTGCTCTTAATATGTTAAAGTTCTATTGAAGGATATGTTATCTCAAACTGCCTCCGATTCACAGCAAACTAAGAGCATGCAAATGAAGAATTCCTGTGAATGACGTAGTAACTAAGTTTAGTACACTGGGTTAACTTAATCAAGCACCTAGATAGCATAGTGGGCAACACAGTATGAAACCGACATCTAAAATTTGTTAGGCTTTTTGTATGTTCCATTACTTTGTTTTTAAATGTTCCAGTGCTCTGGCTTTTATCAGTTAATTTAAGTAACTTCTTCACTTCAAAAATGCAAGAAGATGGATGAGATGAGGTAAACCCTGAGGAGTAATAGAATATGGAAAAACTATGAAATTTAATGCTTCTTTTTGCTACAATTGTGTTGCTTTTTAAATGCTAGAAGACTTAAAATCATACTTCTTTCCTAACAGTAATAGGTTGCTTTGTGATGAACTACAGAGTAGAACCAAAATAATAATATGTATTTAAACTATTTTGGTGAGATAAAAATGCACAGTAATAAATACTGGTCTACTGCTTGTACAGGCTGTAGGATGGTTAATGTCTTATTTTAGGGATGGAATTTTCAGATTGCAGATTACTTGTATTGGATAAATGTTCGACTGTATTTGTTCATTGTATTTATTGGCCTTTCAGGTGCTTAAATGAAAATAAAAAGGGCAGACACAAGAAGAGAGAGATTATAAGGAGGAATGAATGAAAAGCTGATGCACTGAAACTTCTGACAGTCCAAAGCAAAGTCTTTGCTGAGGCAGTTTGTCATGTATGCATTATACAGCTGTATAGCTACTCACTGGAATTATATTGGTTAGGTCTTTATCACCCTTTAACAGTTTGTAGCTGTGGGTTCTTAAGCCTGCCACTGGCTTTGTTCAGTCATTTTAATTTCGTAGTGATCACTGTGCTTTCGTATCCAGAAGTTTAAGGTGCCTTTTTGAGGATGCCACTGCAATGTCGTCATAACCTAACCTCGGTGAGGTCTTGTGACAGAAATGGAAAGATGCTTTTTTCTTGTACTCAGAAAGAAAATTCAGGCAGTTGTAATCTTGAAAGGGGGATAATTTAGGTGAGGTTGTCATTTATGAGAGCTTCTCTTCCTCAGTGGTGAGAGTGCAGGTTTACATACGGATTGCAGGAATGGTGAACTCATTACAGTCTTTAAAATTTGCCAGTACTGACAAGTTAAATATAGGAAACTGAAGGAAAAGAACAGTCACATAAGCACTACAGTTCTTGCTGGATTCATAACAGCTACAGTAACTGTGAGGAGGTTACAGCTGGTGCAGTGTATCATCTCACTGCTAGTTTATTTTTCCTTTGTCAGACCTCATGTAGCTTTCCTGCAGAAATAGCTCCACTGTAAGCTCCTGTGATGTATAACAAACAAACAAAAAGTCTGCATATCTTAGCTTTGTTTTGATATGCGTAAAGAGAGAAGGCTTTCCCATGTTATGGAAAACTTACTTTGCCAGGGAGCTAATGACTGCTTGGTAGGTGGCAGAATAAGAAGTTTTAAGGAGGAGAAGAACTGGGGGATTTCTGTGTTTAGACTGAAAACATGTTAAAGGAATATGAGGAAGAATGCAAATGTATGCAAAGGCTCTTGAAGTTCATTAAGATTTAATGTACTTTAAAGGGTTTTTTTTCTAGATTTGCATGAGGTCAGAACACAGCATTGCATACCTATCTAAAAGTGCGCAACTGAGCTAAAGTTAGCCATTGGCAGTTGCTGGTGGCAGAAGTTGCAAGTGTGTATGCTCAGTAGTACAGCCAGCAAAAAAAGTATAACCAGTAATAACAGCTAATGGCTACACAAAAGCTTAGATGGATTATTTTATATATAAAAGCTGATCAAAGTAGGCCAGATGCAAAAGGGAAAGAATGTAAAGTAAGCTTGAAATTATTAGAATAGAAACTGGCTTTAAGTTTGGCTTTTTATTTTTGACTGATATTTAAAATAGAGACTCCAGTATCTATTGAAACTGTTAAACTAGTGCACAGTTTACCTCTCAGAATAGGGTTGTCCTAACGGGTCTTCTCACGTTAGATGAGAACTTATGGTTAGGTAAATCAATTGCCTAGATGAATCTGGCTTTGCTGAATAGTGTGATTTGCTGGACTCCTCATGTTTTGTTGGTTGTGTGTTAGGTGGGAAGAGAATGAAAAAGTTAGGTTGTTTTAGGCTTCCCAGGGGCTTGTGCCTATTCCTCCCTACTGTGATGGACAGCTTTTCATAGGAAAGCGCTTCACCCAAGTGCTGTAAAGCATTAATGGAGGTTTGGTTCTTGGTTTTCTTCCTCCATCACAGCTGCCTTTTAGGCATTTTCAGCCTCTAGAAATTTGCCTGCATAACTCTAGTCCAAGAGAGCTAAAAGTCACAGGGTTTCTCAGAAGCGAGAAAACAGGTTAAAATGAACAATCTGAGGAATACCTTAAAAATATAGATATCTGAAGCCAGGGGGATTTGTGTAAGTCAAGGTTCTGCCTACACTGCAGCTTCACTATCACAAACAATTATGTGCTTGTAAACTCAGCCCTAATCTGACCTAACTGAGACCTAACTCTGCTTAAGCAAACTCCCTTAGGATATTCACTAAGTCTGGGTTACAGTGCGCAAAACCTTGTTTTTTTTCTATTGGCACATGATTTGGAGAGTGTGCCGGGGGGGGAGAGGAATCATCTAGCAGCAAGTGAATTCTCTTGTTAAGTTAACAGATTGCAATTCTAGGAAGGCTCTCTTTCAAAATAGTCTGGAGACTCAGTTATTAATTGCACTTTCAAATCTGATCGTTGGCAAACATGATGCTGTTACAGACGTGGGAAAAAAATGACTAAAGGGAAATGCCCATACATAACCCAAATGCTATGTGGTTATTTAAGCGCAGTTCAAAGCTATCAGTAGACAAAATACTATTTCTAAAGAGTCTCAGTTCAGGGAATCTCTTAGAAGCATATTAAAATGCCATAGATTTCGTTGAGACTTGACTTAAAACATTACTTTTCCAAACAGGAAAATACCTTCTACTTAAATTCTTAATTAGGCTTGCCTCTGATGCCCAAATTGTTTTGGACAAATGTGATTGATGAGATACATCAATAGATTTGTGACAAGTTAATATTTTCATGCATATTTAATTTGTGGGACAAAGGAAGGCTTGTGTCAGTCTGTAAACTAACTGAACCAGACTATGTTAAAGGCAATGAGGCTATGGAGATGTCTCCTTGCACTGAGCAATTTTACTAACATTTTTATGCTATTTGTATTGTGACCTGAGGACAGCAATTCCTTGGAAAACTGCTAGTTGGGAAAGGAAATGTTTCTAATTAGAGTTAGATGTTTTAGTTCAAGTCTTGAAGCAGTCATAGAATAAGGATTCCTCTTCACTAGAGTGTGTATGTATGCTTGTATTTCCTTGGGAATGATTATTAGTTCTTAATGTCACCTTGGCTAAGTAAGGTACTTAACTTCACTGCAGGTAGTGAAGACAGAGAAGGTAGAAACGGTTAAGCTTTGCCAAAAAGTAAAACTGAAGGCTTGTGTAGGGGTTGTGTGAGTGAAAAAGGACTGGGCTTTCTTTTGCGAATTGGAGAAAGAAGCGCCTCAAATGAATCATTTAAATGCATTTTGGAGACTTTCTGCACAAGACATGCTCATACTTTTTTTTTTTTTAAACATGGATCATAAACAAATGTGATGACCTTGAAAGTAGGAAGGACATCATTTAAGCTAAGGTGTCTTTCATTCACAGAGTCCTTTACAGATTAAGAAGGCAGTGTCTGTAGAGCCTGCTCTTTTGCTAATGAAGGCCATGCGCTCACACTGAGGGAACAGCACATCCCAAAGCTGCATTTATCAGAAAAAATAATTCAGAGTTGCTCAGAAACTGAGGGACAGGTTAAGAGAGGTTTTTCTCTTTGTGTTTTGTTGTTGTTGTTTTGGGGGTGTTTGGAGTTTTTTTTTTTTTTTGGTCTGGTTGGTTTGGGTTTTTTTTACTATCCAGTGTGCAGTATTCCTTTCCCATCGAGTGGAAGTGCTCCCTGCTTTACACATTGCCCGGAGCAGAGGTGGGGAAGGGGCTGATGCAGTCAGCCATCATTGTTCCTTCATTAAAGGTAAATAGTGAGAAACAAAGATAAGAGCCTTTGTATTGAGGTTGGTTGTCTTTCTATAATACTGTCCTGGTTCAGTTGCAGTTTCTTTGGAGGGGACATGGGAATCCATAGCATGAAGGTTTTGAGCTGTTGTGTGGGAGATCAGACTGAGAGAGTAATTGTCCATCCTGGGCCTTAGATCTGCAAAAACATCAAGAAACGTAAATGCAAAATACATGATGTTCAATTGAGTATAGTGACTTTTGTGTCCTGTTTTATTGAAAAATCAGTTGCTGAGGGTTATGATGACATGGGAGTTAGAGAAAGGATAGTTGAGCTTTGCAAACAAAAGCATCTGTTCTTTGATTTAAAGTATGTTATTATTTCATTCATAGTTTGAGCAGTGGGAATAAAACATCCCATGCATTGCCACACAAAAATATTAATACATGCTCAGAGGATTTTGATGGATGGTTTGCTAATGAAATCGGTAAAACTTTTGTGCTGTAATGAAAAGGCCTAAATTCAATATATTCTGTTTAGAACTTTTGCCAAAGTAATCTTCTCTTTTTCTGCTTATCATACTAAATTACTTAAATAGAAGACACATGTATATTAGCATTCCAGCTTGAGCTAGGGGATAACATTGTGGCAGTATTTCTGTGGAGATAGAGTAATCTTATTGAAATTTGTTATACAAATATTTTTCGTTGAAATCAAAAGCCGTAAGTTCTGATATCCTTAGCCAGGCTGACATCAGCACAGAATCTATCTGATTAATCTTTTTTTCTTGTTTTGATAGAATAACTCCTACACCTCTAGGAGAGGGGAAAAGCACAGTTACAGTTGGTCTTGTCCAGGCTCTTACAGCACACCTTAACATTAATTCCTTCGCCTGTCTGAGACAACCTTCCCAAGGACCTACTTTTGGAGTTAAAGGTACCTAAAATTTGCAAACTGTATGACTTCTCTCAGGTTAAAAGGATATACTGCATTTTCTTTTTTTTTTTTATGTGTTTATTTTTCTAATTCCTTAGTTACTTCACTGACTCAGGGGGTTGCCTGAATCTGTCTTCTCTGTCTGAATCTATCTACTATCTTGTATTTTTGATAAGTGTATACCTAATGCTTAAAGGTTTCTTGCACACATCTTCCCATCCAAGGTTCATGTGTATGTTTGTGTTCTTGTGTATACTGATAATACCCATAAAACCTACACATTATGAAAGGCATCAGGATAAGTTAGCCAGGAAGTTTTCTATGTGAGCATGCACCCTTCCACCCACTCGCAGTTGAAGACACCCTAAAAATGTCTCTTTAATGTTGCTATTTAACTCTTCCCTGAGAAGGAATCCTAAATCCACCCGTATTGAGCCAAGGAAGTTGGCAGTCACGGTTGTGATGTGGTGTGTTGGTATGTGGTTCAGCTATATCTGCATCATATACTTGGCTAGGTATGAGTCTCTTCTTTCTGTTCCCTGAGTTGTCCCTCCTGCTGACTTTTCGCCTAGAAATCCTCTAAGGGCCTGAGGGCCGGGTGAGAGCCAGCCAGAGTTCAAGCCTCTCTTAATGTTGATAGGAAGTAATACAACTTTTTTTTTTTTTTTGGCCATTTCTCATCTGAGATTGGTACCTAACTGGGCAAGCACTCCCCATCTGCTCCACTTTGCTTTGCTGAAGTTTAAGTTAACAAGTTTGATTTCAGCTGGAAGGCTCCGAGTGCTTGGTGCTTCTCAGCCGAAACTGGTGCATGTGAGTGCTTTAATCCCTCCACTCAACTTTTGTATAGGTTACAGTGAACTTACTTGACAGTACGTTGGGAGGCATCAGGGAAGGAGCACTGAGGCAAAGATGTGACGGTTTCATTTGGAAGCAGTATGAAAGCAGTAATTGCTCGTGACTGCAGTGTCTCTCCTCCCAGCTGCTGCATGTGCATGACCGTGTCCTAAAATCTGGGCAGGAGCAGTGAGTAACCCTTATCTAGCCAAAGCCTGGGCCAGCTATCAGCTGCAGACTTTCCTTTCTGCTCAAGAATTTCCTTTCTACTGCCTGTGTAAGAAAGGTAGCAAGGCTTAAGTAACTGCTTTTTATTTGGCTGTATGACTGATTCCCTGATAGAAATTAAAACACGAAGAAATGAGTCAACAAAGCTGTGTGTTTTACTTTGTGTGCTGAAGGGCTTTTTTCCCCACACTGGTGAGAATCTGGTGTGACCATATGCTTTCTTACACAGGTGGAGCAGCAGGAGGTGGATACGCTCAAGTGATTCCCATGGAGGAGGTGAGAGACTGACTGGGGGGGGGGGCAACATAACATATACTGGGCCTTTTCTGGGAGAGGTGGCAGCCCAAGGGGGCTGCTGCACTATTTGATTTGTGATGATGACGTGATCCTTGGCATATTCATGTCGCTGCCCTGTGAAGTCTAGAGTCTGGGGAATGTGGGTGCAAAAACATTACATAGTATATATATTTGTAACATCTCAGCTATCATTCAGGTGCTTCCTGAGAAAAAAGCCCACTATTTATGCATAAGATAAAAGACAAAGAGCTGACTAAAGCTATTTATTTCCTTTTATATCCACATCTTTTGCAAAAGACTTGAGAAAGCATTACCTTTTTGGTGGAGTAGAAAAAGGCAAGGAGACCCAGGGCTGGTCAGTAGAAGTTTCTTTTTCAGATACAGATTTAATGTTTATTGTTAGCAGTAGTCACTAGCTGTGGTGAAAAGGATTTGCTTCTAGCCAGGCTGACCCTTCTCTGGTAGTGATTTGTCTTATTGTGAGACAGACCCAAAATATTTTTGAAGGGTAAATACCAGAACTTTTGCTAAGTAAAGTAAAAGGAAAATGATTTGGCCCCAAAATGGTAATAGAATAAAGAGGTTGCCTGCGAAAAGCTCTTTTCACATGTGCTGGCAAAGTGAAAGAATTATTTTCTTAAATTAATCTATGACTTTCCCTTGCCCATATGTAAACAGATTTCTATTGAAGATGGTATTATCCCTAGGCTTCGAGTATTTCTGAAAAATCATGTGTTAGCTTTTGAAATAAAGTGGATGGGTATATGCTTTCAAAAGACTTTCACTGTGAAAATAGTGATATTCTAACTGAAGTCTTCATCCTTCCTTAGTACAGCATTCAAGATGTCTAATCTAAGCAATCCATGCATTTTATGAACCGATTGAAGCAAGGATATAGGTGAAATTTAGGTTGCGTCCAGTATTGTTGGTTGACTGGTGTCATTTTCTGTACTGAGTGTCTCATTTAGCCTCTCTCATTTGTCATCAGCATGCGTAGCTGTTTGCCCAGGGATGTAGTTTGCTGTAGTTGACGGTGGGATTTTGTTTTGATTTCCAAAGATTAAAATGCAAGCAGGTTTTCTGGATGGAGGGGCAAAGGAAGACAGTACAGTTAAGCCTATGTGTTTGCCTATGTGTATATTCACAGTGCTTATTTGGAAATGCACACGCATTTCATACAGTGACCTTCTGTGAGTTTTCCCCGCCACAACTGCTTTGCCCTCAAGTTTCTGGGCTAGGAAGATGAGCTGGGACCACCTAGTCTTTGGGATGACCAGTGGTGGATACAGAGCAGAGCAGGGGCCCTGGCTGCGACCCAGTGCCGTGAGCTGGTGTCACGACAGCAACGTTGGCAGGTGGTTTGGGGAGGCTGGACTTTGTTCTAGCGGCCAGTATTGTCCTGCAGAGCCTTGTGACCCCGATTCCCGCTCGTCGGCAGCTGAGTCAGTTTCATATGGGCAAGCGATTTGGTGTGTGGCACAGGAGCGAAGCTGTGATCAAAGCTTCTGGAGCTCTTCTCCGCCTTTGGGTGATGCATATGGGAGACATCAACAGGATCACCCAGGACAGGACCTGCATCTTTTTTGTAGCGGGCTGTGAGCGTGCCCAGGGCTCAGGAGCAGGCTGATGACTGGTAGTACCATATCACTCATGAGAGAAAGGGGGATGGAGTAAATCTTTCTAAACCATTAAGAAATGGTGGGGGTGAGAAGGCAGAAAGCATAAGGCCTATGCAAGCTATCCAGAAGAGTGATAAGATCTTGAGGGGCTGAGCTGTCTGATAAGGCCCAGAAGGAAGAAAACAAACCTTCCTGCCAAGGAAGATTTTTCCCTCCTTTTTTCCCCAGTGAGACAAGAGCTTCTGTCCTTTATTCTCTCCTGTCCTTTTCAGCTTTCAGATGAACTGATCCTTCTGCCTTGCTGTCTGAACTTTTGACTGGCAGAGAGCCCTTCAGAGATACTGCACCCTGCCAACCTCATGATGAGCCATCAGCTCTTGGGTGGCCCAAGCTCCCCGCCCTGAATCCCTGCCCTCCTACCCCTAAACAGGAACAAGGGAAGAAGGGATGTCGCTTTAGGCAGTGCCCAAAAATCTGACTGGGAGGGAAACTTTTAGCTAATCAAAAATGGGTAAGGAAAAGCATCCAAACAACAGCAAGATTTGGTTCCTGAGAGGCCTGATACGCCCCGTAATTTCTAGGTGGACAAAAGGTATTTTATTTAGGGGGCTGGGGAGAGGGGAATACTAACACCACCTAGAGCTTTAGGGAAAGGGAAGGAGAGATAGGGAAGGACGTTGTAGGGGTGTCATCCCATTTGTGCATCTAGGGATAGGGTCCAAAGTGGTGCATGTAGCACTGCTTCCCTTTCCTCAGCCTTCACCCAGCTGCTTTCAGGGAGGGGAAGAAACTAGTACTGTGTGCCAATCTCCGCATGGAGGTATGATAGGGTACTCATTGGTTTCAGAGCGTTGTGTTGGCATACGTATGTGTTGTAGATGCTGGAGGACGTGGTGTCAAGACTGAAGCGGATTAATCGTGTACCTCATGCAGATCTTGCAATTTGGTTTCATTCAAAAAGAATCTAATTTAGAGCTCACCAAAACCATTTTACAATCTGAACTAGCGAGGTAGCGCTCTGGAAGTGCACAGCTGCTCTGAACAGAGAACTAATGTAGCAATTAGTTGCAATTTTGATCCTCCCTTGCACTTTGGTATGATTACAGTCCGGGGCTTGGATTAGTTGTGACTACTTGCCTCCAGGCTGTCGGTACCACAGTGCAATGAAAGTTGACTTTCTGTCTCCTTGGCCAGATAAAAAACACAATGTCTATGTCATGAGCATCCTAATCCAATCTAGCGCTGCTGATTTCAGATTTTTCCGCAAAATGTTGATGAGCAAACTTTGTATCAGCAAAATTCATGCCTGATCAGGCATGGGCTTTTCTCTTTTGGCTAGGAGAAAGCTGATGTAAAAGCATAAAGCCAGCACAAACTGTGCACTCTGGGAGATTCAACAGAAATCTGCACATCTGAGCCAGGTCAAATTTGTACTGCTGATTTGGACTGATTTAGTATTAATGACGTGGAACCATAGCCCTAGGCTTTCTACTCTTGGTTCATTTAGCAACGAATAAAGACCTCTTTGGCTTTGTTTGGGTAGTTTACCACCTGCTCATGTGAAAACATGTCTTTCGTATAGCTCGGTGTATTTTCAGCCCTAATGATACTTTATCTACACTGATAGGTGGTTAATCTGAGCTGTTTGCATTATTCTGTCCGAGATTAACAGATTGAGTTAAACAGTTTCTTAAAACTTTTTTTTTGTTCCTTTCACCCTATAGTTCAATCTTCATTTGACTGGAGATATTCATGCTATAACTGCTGCAAATAATTTGCTGGCTGCTGCCATTGATGCTAGGATCTTGCATGAAAATACTCAATCTGATAAGGTGAGAATTATTTTCTAATATCCACATGATGTTTTTTCTTTTCAGTTTTTCTATAGAATTGTATTTCAAAGTAAACTAATTTGATTATCTATTTATGTTTTCACCATGAGAACATAAACTGTTGCTAGGGCCATTCTATGTTCTGCTGGGAAATTATGCTTATAGGATATATTTTTCTGTTACATACCTTCTTTTAAGACCAAAAACTTGTCAACAATTGTTCACAAGGCTGTCAAACTGTACTAAGTAGTCTAATAAAAGATGTTATCTCTCCGTACAAATCTTGTAGTTCTTAATAATTTGTAAACTTCTTTTAAAGCTAAAAGTTAGTCTTATGATGTATTCTTGGGTGTGATGTACCCTAAGAAGAGGAGGCTGTGAGGAAAATAAATGAGATTCTCCTCCTTCCACTAAGGTTGTTGTGACCTTAACACAAATACAACTTGCATCTTTGGAGGGAGAAGGGAGGGGAAAAAGCATGTTTTTTTGCCTGCTGTGATAAAAGTGGGAAGGGCTATCTTGTCCTCTTTACTTAGTAGGACACAAACATGCATTTAAGCCGGCTTGCAAACAGCAACGGTAGTCTGAATACTATAATTGATTAAAATTTGGTTAAATTGGTTAAAGGTTTAAAGACGATCCCAATTTCAGAAATACTTAATTTTTTTCTGTGGGACATATTGAAACAATAATTCTGATAGTAATTGAATTTAGATTGCTAAATCATTACTGAAAGCCTACCAACCTTCTCAAAATTATTTTTTAAATAGCTAACCAGAAGTCCACAACTTAGACAGTTAGGAAATTCTTACTAGAATTAATCTAAATAAAATAAAAACATCAGGTTTTCATATAAATAGTTCTTGGTTGTAACTTTTTCTTACGTTAACTTGCCATGTGGTTTTTCTAGGCTTTGTATAATAGACTGGTTCCAGTAGTTAATGGTGTGAGAGGATTTTCTGCTATTCAGCTTGCCCGTCTGAGAGTAAGTTGTTAATGTATTTTCCCTTCAATTATATTGTCTCTTCATAAAACATATTCTTTTATTGCAACTTGTTGCAAATTATTTGAGGTATGGGACTGAGTTTATACAAACTTTCTTCAAGAATTTATTGAGTCCAGACTTTTTCTAAAAGCATCCTCCTTGCAGTAATAGGATCTGGTCTGATATTATTTTCGTAACTGGTATTTTCACTGTTTTCTTCTCTGAAATAAACCAATAATGTTTTGTGAATATTGTGTCTTTCCTGATGAAATATTAAGGTTAGAGTTTTTAAAATTCTTTTCCTATTATGGTAAAGTCGCATATGAAAGCTCAGACTTTCTAGTGTAGCAATATTTTCTGGTTTTGAAAGTTTATTGTAGCGTATACTTCTGGGAATTTATTGAGGTCTATTTGAGTCTATGCCTTAGAGGGATAGAAATGCATTTGTTTCCACAGTATATTTTTGCATCCCATTGTGCTTCCTGAATTTTTCTAGAAAAGCTTCCTATGCAATTCATATGTGAATAGCACATCCAGATTTGAGGTTGGCAATCAGTTAAAAAACTGGAGAACAGCACGATTCACTGCTTTTGGGGAAGAGTAATTACGAATGTGAACCTTAAGGACGGCTTCAGTCTTCTGCATCCAGTTCCATGTTTGTTGTTGGCTTTTGAGGCATCAATGTGTAACCCTGGCCAGTGTTGCTTCAGAGCCACTGGATGGCAATGGCTGGCTGCCAAGCGCGCACAGAGCTGCACTGGGGACGGCAGGGGGATTTGAAAAGGAGGAGGGAGGTAATATCAGCTTATGTTTTTAGAAGATACTTGCTAGTAACTTTTTAAGCTTTTGGGCTGCTCAGTTGTGGGGATGTCCTTAAACGAAGATGTGGATGATGCCCGTTTACCTCAAAGGCAGAGTAGATCTCGCAGAAGTTCTCAGGAGAACACTGGGGTGTTTTCATTTTGCCCTTGTTCACACTCTGGTGTGTTGGCTGCAAGGTGGGGGTGATGTTTCTTGTTGTTCATAGCATGCCAAGCATCACTGTAACAGAGATGGATTTCTGTCTCCAGATGAACTGCGACTGAATAAAGATGTTTAGCTTTATAAGATTTAAATAAGTGCATTACAATTTCCATTATAACTGAATTATTTTGGTGTGAATTATTTTTAATCTAACGATTCTTTAAACATAAAAATAAAATGTAGATGGACACATGTAACTTTACGGGTTACATTTTTGTCCAAAGAGCATTGTGAAGGTTGGGACTCCTCCCTTACATGCATGATTTGGGCTCGTAGTTACAGAAGGGCCTATGCTGTTTCTTATTAGCCTTTTGTATAACCTCAGGGAGTACTTTTCTCATCTCACTGCTCTTCAGTTCTTTTTCCCTTTTTCCCACTAATTATTGGCCAGAATCCCTAGCTTACCGCCTCCCATTCATTGCTTCTGTCCTAGTCTTTTCTTTGTCTCCTCGTCCACATCAGGCCTTTGTCTTACTCTCTGTCAGCTTTTTCCTTGCTGCTTGGATGTAGTGCAGATGGCACTGAGACTACGGGATGGATGGTCTACCCACTTTTCAGTCCCAGTGCCCAACCTTCCCTATGGATGACAGTTGAAAACTATAAAATAACTGACAGTTTTGCTGTCAGCCTCTGTTGAAAGATGCTCTGTGCAGATGTAATCTTTGGGGAATTTAGCCAGTAAAATTAACAGACCCTGCTGAAACACACACACTTAAAAAAAAAAAAAATCCCCCCGAAGATGTATTGTTTGGCTAAGTCTGTGAGTGGATTTTCATCTGGATTGAGGTGAAAGGATGGTGGCAAAAAGTTTGCCTTTGTAATGAACTTTGCTCACCTGAATGATCTTGTTTTTAAGAATGGGCTAATAGAGCCTCCTAAAGAAGGTTGTTTTATTTGTAAATCCGTAATTTTTGATTGTTAGCCTTATTCTGCACTGTTTGGATAATGTCTTCCAAAAATAAGTTGTCTTACGGGTGGCAGAACTAATGAAGCCTGGTTTCCTTTGAATCTAAGTCTAATTTTCTTTTCTATATCTTGTTCTAGGCCTTAGTTAAGGCATTAGGCGGTAACTTCAGCTCCCAGCCTCCAACTTTTTGCCAGTCTGCCACTTCAGTATTCTTGCTGCCCTCCAGTATGACTCCCTGCCGTAGTATTCATGATCGCCCCTCTCTTAGCTTCTCCTGTCCATGAATGTTCCTTGTTTCCCCTCAAGGACACCCCCAGCGCTGTCCCATATCCCCAGTGCCCTCCCTGCTTCCACAGCATCTCTATATTTTTTAATTAATGTTCCCTAAACCCATTCGCACAACACTTCTAGCTTCCTCTTATTTCTCTTACCGCGTTTGGCTTGTCAAGGTGCACAAGGTTATGTTTCTTGTGACAGGTTTGAATCAATGAGCGTGTAGGATCGTTGGCTGGTCTGTACCTCCTGGCTGCCTGATACACCAAACAGAGCAGGCGGACGTGGATTTCTGACTGCCTTCCCTTGATGGAGACACTCAGGGGCTATTTCTCCTTTATCTATCTGCCTATTTGCGTGAAATTTGTAGGAAACAATCTCCGAGACTTCTGCTAACTCTGTCAAATTCGACTGAAATCAGTCAATGAATTAAAAAAATATTAACAAGGCACTGATTGTTGAAGACGTAAGGCTTGCTTCATTAAAACTGGAGTGAAAATCTGTAGGCAGTAATTTCTTTAGGGTACCACATGTCAAAAACTGCAGGCTATTCTCAACAGCTTTTTCTCCTTCTCAGTGGAGCGGGAGCCCCAGTGCCTTCGCCTGGTTTCAGAAGCATCCTTCACAATCTCAGAGATTGATCTTCAGTAAGGAGCATGGAGGAAACACTTTTAGTAGTCTCAAAAGGATCTCCTCAGCTTTCTGGAAATGCAAATTGGTTTAAACAGAGAAATAGCTGGTGTAGCGCTCTGTGCTCAGCACTACATGCCTGCATGCTTACTTTCAACATAATGCATTTAATTGACACTCAGTGCCTGTGTTCAAATGCAAGAATATTAGTATTTATAGAATTTTAGATTTGCTTTATTTCTAATACTGAAGTATAAATACGCCAGTTAATTCAATGAGGAATGTTGTGTCATGCCAGAGAGAATAAAGATTTTGAAAGACAACAGTTCTTCAACACAATTTTCTGATCCACCTCTGTGTAGATTCACTAAAAAAAAAGTTTTGATTTTTGTTGAAAAGAATCTGTATAAAAGTCAGGATATATTGACCCCTTCATTATAAATGACTGGGATTATGGGTGATGGGCTGTTTCAGCAGAAGTTTTTGATCTCATTCAAAGAGTGTTCGCACAAGACAACACATGGGTCTTCCCACAGACATCCTCAAACCAGGGCAAGCAGTTAATTATCTTTTCCAAAGTGATTGGTAATGTTGATTTTTCTCCTTGGTGTGTATTAAGAGCCTCTTCTGTGTAAGAAAGAGTTATTTTATTTAATAGCCTACGAATATCTCTCATTTTTCATTTCCTTTCTCCATCCACATTTGCCTATTTTAGTTACAGATTTCATCCCGTGTGCTTTTTTAAAACAGTTTCAGTCCTGACTTATCTTCTTTCCCAAATGCTTGCTTAAAGGGAGGGAGATAAGCCAAAGCAGCTATACCTTTCGAAGAACCACTTTATTGCCTTTATTTATCCTCTTTTTCTCTAGAGGCTGGGAATAAACAAGACCGATCCTGGTACTTTAACAGAAGAGGAGATCAATAAATTTGTGCGCCTTGATATTGACCCATCTACCATAACATGGCAAAGAGGTATGTAATCAGAAAGCCTCGCTTTAGCTTGACTCTTTAAATTATGATATTTTTATTTAACTTAGCTTAAATATCTTTAGTAATTCAAGAGACTGCTAAAATTCTGAAGGATAGATTACTCTGTGAAAGTTTAAGCACGTCCCTTGTTTCTTACACACCAGTAAATAACCTTAAAAATGTATAAGACTGGCTTTTTACATTTTATAAGTCTTACCTGTTTTTAAGTGCATCCATTGTACAGTGAGTACAAATAACCTAAACACACATAGGTTTTGTCGCTCTCTCTCCCCAGTTGGGCAGCCGGGGTAGCTCAGAGACTAAATAGGCCTCAGAATTTTATTTTTATTTTATATATTTATTTTTTTAAAAAGTATGTCTTGAGTTGTTACTTTGATTTTTAGGAAGAAGAGGAGAAAGAGGCAGTATGGTTTCACCTCTTTTTCCTAACAATCAAAGTTGATTGTTAAATGGAATATTTGGCTGAACATCACTGATACAAGCTAAACCTATTGAGAAGTCAGGAGCCTTGGCTGTGCTTTACTGCGCCCTTCATATACATACCGTCTCAGACTCGGGATAATTTCTCAAGATAGTACTGGGGAATGTGGTGTAAGATGTTTCTTATTAGTCACACCGTGTTTGTGCGTGGAAGAGACCTATATGGGGATAAAGCAATAATATAATAGTGTAATACGACTCATTGTTTTTATCAGCGCATGTTTGGGAGGAGGCAGCATTACTCAACAGCTGTCAAGTACATTATTGAGTTCAACTCAAACAAGCGCTAGTGGAAGTTTTATCCCACGCAAATCTATATGATGTACACATTTTAAACATTACAGAAAAAACTGTTTTTAAGAATGCTTTAGATAGCTTTGAAAGTGCTTGTTTTGGGACTATTTCTACAATCCATATGTCCGTGAAGCTTGTTAGTGTTACAGGAAATTTACTGCATAGGGCAGAAAAGAGAGCTGTCAGATTGTCTGAAAGTGAATTACAGTCAGGATCTGTCTCCTTAGAAGTGTCACAAGCTTAAAGTTCATTGTCTTCTTACACAAGACCTAACAGGTACAACACACTGAAGAGAAGGAAAGCTCCCCTCTCCTGCCCCTTTCCGTGGTATCCAGATCCTGTTTATATATCTAGAGGATCAGGAAGCAGACATATTAAACCTTACGCTGGCTCTTGGTTGAATCTAATCTTTCTTGAATGTTTACTTTAAGTAAGGAAGAGGGCAGATTGGAGGAGAAGTAAAAATTGTTTTTGTGGCAAAGGCAACTCTTCCGTGTTTTTCTACTTTTAAGTGCAGCTATTGGAACCTAGAGCAATGTGCTCTAGAGGACCCTGCTTGAGCAGGAGGGTTGGACTAGATGATCCCCAGAGGTCCCTTCCAACCTCAACCATTCTGTGTGATTCTGTGAATCTTCCCGAGTAATTAATTTTGACTGTGGTGAGAGAGCTGTTGTGACCCAGTGATGAGAAAAAGTTGCTGGTGCTAATTACAATTTGATGGTTAGGGTATTCAGATTGCATTAATCCATTGGAAAGGACTGGATAAAAACCAGCCCATTGGCTGTCCAAGTTGGTGTGAAGGCTAGTTCATGCTCTCAGCAGTATCTGGGTAGGTAGAAGGGGCAGTCAGGTCTGCTTAAGGCTGTCATGAGGCTGCGTTTCCCGTGAGGAGAGGGGATAAGCTTGTGCCTGAGAGGTTACCTTGCCATATGGCTTTGCAGTGGCATGTGGTCCTATAGCTTGGCACAAGCCGGCTGCTTCCTTGTACGGAGCTCTGTTCACGGTTCCTGCCAGTACCGTAGTATTTTAGAGTATGGTTGTGCACAAACAGAAACCAAGATAAGTTAACTGTATAAATAAATAGAAACCAAAATAAGTTAACCACATCTTTTTTGTACCATCCCTTAAACGGAATTCCTGAGGAAATCAGGGCCCTGAATACCATGGAAGAAAGCACATATGACAGCCCCATGCAAAGTGACCAAGAAAGGCATGTGACTGAAATCTTGCTTTTCTCACCCGCTCACAAGCATGAAGTAGGTCTTGTGTAGGACTGAGAATCAAAATCCCTCTTGTTCTTGGGTAATTACATTGACCTTTTCAGCACAGACAAATTTGTTAATCTCTAAAAACAGCAGGAGAAGTGATGCAGGGGGTAGGTGATGTCACTGGCCTTCAGTACAGTCAACTCTCAGGAAAGTCCTCGATTCTCTGCCTTATATCGAACAGGGCTCCAATCTACATCTCCGAGAAGAATGATCTGATCACTACATTGCAGATTAAACTGGTTAAGAGTACCTTCCACCACTTCTTCTAGGGCTGCTGCAGGAAGGATTGAAAGATTCACAGGGCCAAAAAGACTGTAAGAAAGAGGGAGCCAGTTTGCGTAGGGATCACCATCCCAGGGAAGGAGAGGTTCTGCAACCTGGTCTTTGCTTCTAACGATAAGAAATATCCTCCTGATATTTTCTCCTAAGAGATGATATGGTCAGGTCTCAGTTCTTCCTTTTGGTTCCTACAAAGGCATGTCCAAAGTTATGTTGCAGTGCAAGAATGGAAAACTTGAATTGCTGCAATGTAAATGAAGTTAGCAATTCTACAGGATGGTTTGGACATGCCCTTGCAATATCCAAGGTGTTTCCAGGTTAGGAAGACAGTTGTCTGAAACTGAAGTTATGTTTAATAGCAGATGCTTGGTCTTGGCATTTGGAAAAAACTTCCTCTGAATTCTACCCAGCTGAATATGGAGTTAGTTACTGTGATGTGCAAGAAAGTGACTTGTCTGGAGGAACCAATCTGACAGCATAATCATCCTTATAAAGAGAAACAGACCAAGTGTAAGTTATGTCTTGTAATCTTAAAAATCAACTTTTAACAAGTCAATAAAGAGGCAAATGATTTGAGATAGGTCTGAGGTGCTTTGTAGCTACCAAGGCAGATTTTTCTTGTGTAGGTAATATTAAGATGTACATTAGAATGTTAAGCATCTATTAGCTTCAAATATTGTTCAGAGAAATTGTGCTTGAGTTATTTCAACCTGTCATCTGAAGGTGCTAAATAGAGGGGAGAAACCAAGTCAGTAGCACTGCTAACGTGCAGAAGCATGTTTAGCTGGTTACACTGTACTGTGCAAGTAGCTGAATCTTATGTGTAAAAACACGTGTAAAATGCCTGGCAAGAATCCAGATCTCTAACTCTTTGTTAATATGTTTTGCTTTTGCTTTTCCCTTATTTTAGTGGTGGATACAAATGACAGATTCCTACGAAAAATAACAATTGGTCAGGCAAATACAGAGAAAGGATTTGTCCGTCAGGTACGTAAAGGTAACTGCTGTAACTTATTCTAGACAGACTTTGCTTTAGAGACTGAGAGATATTTGCTAGTCTGTAACTCTTAGCAAACTGCTTTGAATTGCAATGCTAACATCTGCTGATACTGTGTAGTAGTGTTGCAGGGAAGCTGATCATGTTGATGAGTAACAGTCTGAAGTTTCAGAAACATTTCAATGCATATTGCACAATGCATTGAAAATACTTGAAAAATATGCATATATTAGGGAACGGTGGAAGTTTATTAAAGCACTTGCTGCTAAATTGAAGGCCAGACTTCACTGACGCTATCTGAACAAGTGTACCTGGGTCATGTGGGTAAATCCAGTTATGAGACAATGTGATGCAGAATAACAATGTTAGGTGGAATAAACTCATGGTAATGTGGAGTTGCTTCTAATTCGAGGAAGATTATTGTAATTTATCACTCTAGATAACCAAATTCATGAGGTTCTGACTGCTTTGAGGTGAAGTAAATAGTTATTGTGGTATAGATAAGGCCTTACTTCTTGTGGAAGAATTAATCTCTCTTTATCATTGCAGATCTCCTTTAAGCTTTACGCCTCAATAAAGAGTCAAAAAATTAGTCCTACAGGATTTTTAATGTTTCTGCTTAATTCAATAGTTAAAATAGTCAATTAAATTAGACAAATTTGGGAGAGAAATGTTCATTTATTTTGGTTCTGAGCACATGGAGTAGAAACTTTTCTTTCCATAACTTACACAAATTCAAATCAGCTAATATTCATCTTTGATAATGGGCTGGGACTATAAAATATGGTACATATTATTCGAACACTTTAGACGTTTTCCTGTATTTAGATTTGTTTCAGTGACTTGTTGTGGTTATTAGCTTTCAGCCAGGCTCTGCCAGCGTTATTGTGCACTGCTTTACTACCAAAGTTATGCTGCCGACTTCAACGTGGGTTGTTTTACTATAAAGTACTAGTCGACGTAAGACTGTCAAACGTTGCTTTTGTACTGCTTTGGCTAAAATGACCTTGATGCATCCAGTTTTGATGTACTGAACTGATGCATATCCATTCATGTTTTAACATGGTCTTATTGACTCGAGAAATAAAGAGCAGTTAGAGAAACTCATTTCAGAGTCTAGCCAGAGAGCCAGATAAAACAAGACTTCATAGCTAACAGATGCATTTTATAAATATTTGGAGTGATGTTCTAGCACTCTTAAAATCAATGACACCTGTGTAAAATGGCAGAGCACAGCAGGCACAAGAGCCTGCATTTTAATGAACAGGGATGCTATGGTTTTTAGAGAGTATTACATGACTGATGGCCTTGATCCTGCAATTGAATCCATGTGGGTGGATCCTTTCATCAATAGAGAACTGAGTTTATAGCTAAGGCTTCTGTCAGCACTTCATAGGTGTATAAAGGTTATTAGAGTTAAAACAGCACCTGCTATCACAATCTTGTGCCTGTTTTTTCAATAAAATGTTGTGTCATTCTTCAAGCATCTACCTGGGAATGTTTTTCCTGTCCTTTTTATTTTATGTAAAAACAGTAATACATATAATAAAAACTTAGATTTTTGTCTCCTGATGAACATGCTGATAAAGTCAGATAATATTCCAGTATATGGGTTGGCCGTAGTTTTCTTAGGCCTATTGCCTGTACTGCATATGCTGCAGTCATTTCCAGGGGGCGTTCTTCTTACCTTCAGAGATGGTAACACCCATGTCATCCCAGCATTAACAGTGTTCACTGTGTACCTAACTATTTTGTTGTATGTTCAACTGCTTCCAGGGAAGAAAAAAACTGCTTCGTAACTTCAGCATTTCATTTGATTGCTATCCTGAAAATCTCTATTACAGGATTAGTTTTCATTTTTTATGGTATGTGTCTCTCCCTGCCTGAGGCCCAATCCAGGAAAGTGCTTAGGTGTCATCATGAGTTTTGCTGAAACGTGCACATACACAGAGGTGAGCCTGGTCTGAAATAAGGGCCAGTCCAGATGTCTCTTTCTACATAGGTGATGGTGTGAGGTCCATTAATAAATTTTGTATAGACTTAAATTTATTGGAGCTGGAGATGTTGTTAAAGAGGCTGTAGTTCCTCACCCTCACGTTGTGTTCCTGTTACATAATATATTAGTGGCTGTGCCTTTCTTCTCTGTTTGTTTTCTAGCAGCGTGTGGCCTTTTCTAATAGTAAAATAGTCCATACATTACTAATGCATATTGCAGGTCCTTAAAAGTAAGGACCATGGCTCATATTATGTTGAAGTATTGCACAGTACTAATCTACTTCTACAAGAGCGATAGGTCTGATGCTGCAAATATAGTTCTTGTTTTTCTTCTTTTTTTTTTTTTCAACTTATATATTTGTTCATGAACAAGGGGGATGTGGGGGTGGATATGTTTTACATCATCATAGATCAAGCTCAGAGCCTGGCAGTCTAAACTATAAATTCTGAATTTGTATAGAAAAAGAATGATCAAATACAACAAGAATGTTTTTGAAACTAGTATTAAAAAAAAAATTTTGGACAGCATTACAGATAGTGGAAGAAAAAAAAAAAAGTTCCGTGCTCATGCCAGAAATGTTGAAAATACATCTGGTCTTTTTTTGCCCCAGAAAAAAAATAATCTTGGTTCTTCAGGGAGATTTTGCTAAGGATAATGAGAGCTGAGGGGCTAAGCAGTCTGCAAGACTGATCCCCAGGAAAATGAAGTGTAACATACAACATTAATGAGGAAATTCAAACAAAGTGTTTGAAGTGGGTTACAGTGTCCAGTGTGACATCTGTCTTTCTTGAGTCTGTTCCTGACAATTCCCTGTGAGTATTTGATCTAACTCTTGATTTGGTTCATGATTCTTCTTTTTATTTTGCAGGCTCAGTTTGATATTGCTGTTGCAAGTGAAATTATGGCCATCCTGGCACTTACCACCAGCCTGGCAGATATGAAGGAGAGGCTGGGAAAAATAGTGGTGGCTAATGACAAAAAAGGACAACCAGTAACAGCAGAGGATTTGGTACGTACAGTGCTGTAGACCTGTGAATAACCTTTGATTCTTTTGTTTTGCCTCTTGAAGCAGTAGAAGAGCAGGTGCGTGCCAAGGTTTTTGTTTAGAACAGCGCAGTCAGATGTCAAGGAGAGATCACCATCTGGGCCAAAACTTCCCTGCAATGAGAACAAGATGTAAAACTAACTTGTCCAAGTCTTTTGGTAACATCTGGTTCAGGAAGTCTCTGGTCTCCAGAACCTGCTTGGATAGATTTCCACAATTCTTAAGGCAAACAAATTTGGTGCTGGAGGGAGTCAAAGAGTGTAGGCTCCTATCTGAGAGAGCTGGTAATGTTTGCTACTGAACTTGCCAAGGGTGCTCAGGTGTTAAAGCGCTAGTTACCACACGAAAGCTGACGCTGCTAAATTGAAATTAAAACAAGCTATTCCCAATTAATAAGTTATTGTTACTGCTGGGGACAGGGCTATCTCTTTACATCAGTAAGACTTTTTTTTTCCACCTATATTTGTTAATTGCTGCTTACTCATTCCCTACTTCAGCTTCTGCAAGAAGTCCATAAGTTCTTCCTTTGCACTGAATCCTAGCTCTGTAGCCAAGCTGAGTGTCAGTGGACCATGGTTGGAAACTCACCCATGTTTGACTATGGCAAGTTCTGGCGCAGCCGAACTCTGCCATTCCTTTGTCATCTGACCTGTATGCCAGGAGTAAGTTCACTGTGATTGCCACTAATTTACTGTAACATGACATTACATGTATTCTGAAGCCTAAAGGCCAAATTAAGATCATATATTGCAGATTGACAGTGCACTCTAAATATAATAAATACCATAATGCTTTCCTTTCATGCTTTATCTGTCATCTAAATATGTCCTTGTAGCAACTGCAGTATGCCTTGGAGCTGTGATTTCATGCCACCCTGCTGACAATAGCTGCCTGTATCATGCAGACTAATTTCCCTTATGAAGAATAGTGTTTTCTCCTGTTTGTCCCTTCTATATGGACATTTGCACAAACTTGCTGCCTTTTTTTTTTTTTTTTTTTTTTGAGCAAGGAAAGGAACCACGATCCTGTCTTGTCAGCAAAGATAGCAAACCTGTGGGCCAGGAATACCTATGCAACCGTAATGAACTCCATTTTCACAAGGAAATGAAAAAGTAATATCTAGCTGTCTTGGATTTAAGATTGGAATTTTAAGTACAGTCATCATTAAAATTCAAACCAAGTCAACTATTATGTGGAAAATTATGCAGGAAATTCAAATCTTAAGGCATCCTGGCATGTATCAGAAATTTTGGTATAACCATGAATAACTGCAAGACTGCATTTAATATTCTAGCTGCTAAAGTTTTGATATTCCTTTTCATTTGCATACCTTAGTCTTGGCCCGTTAGGGTGGGAGCGAAGGAATTACTTATCTTGTAATGCATATGCAAAAACTTTAAAATAATTCAATGTCAGGATTAAAACCGTACATTTAAAATAGATTAAAATAATCTTGATGCTACCTTTGTATTTTAAGGTATTAATACCATAAAATATTTAACCTGCGTTTCAACCGCTTAACACTCTTTAGCTTGCTGAATGAAAGCAGTTCTTTTTCCATAGTCTCTTTCCTCTGTAGTTGCAAGTTGAATGTTAGGACTGAAATTATGAACAGTACACAAAAAGCTTTGAATTTCTTTATCCCCATAAAATGTTACTAATTAGGTTTTGTTTGGCCTTTTTAAAACAAAAAACAAAAAACCCACAAAAAAACAAACTCCCCATGCTTAGTGTCTCAATCACTTAATAGTGTCACTTGTGCTGAACATATGCTTCCAGTACTTCTTTAAAGCAGTATTCTGTACTGCTACAAAAAAAAGCTGCCTGAAAAAAAATTGGTCACAAGCATATGTATTATGACCATCTATAGCTATGCTATTGCATTGTTGTCTGCAAGATCTCTTCGTTGTACAGGGCACAGAAAGGATCTGGGTGCAAATTAGGATTATGAAATAAAGAAACTCCTACCTTCACTGTTGCACAGTGTTGCAAACAATGAGAACTGTAGGAAGAAAACGAAGGTGGTTTCATGGTTAAGGCAGAAAAGAGCCTTTCTGGAGAGTTGAATTCTTTTCCTATGTTTTTGGCAGAGCTTCTGTGTAATGTTGTGTCCATACAAAGTGGTTCTTACAGTTCATGAGGAACTGCGTGTTCCCCCTGGGTTTGATACCCAGGATCTAAACAGTGGAAATCTATGGAAAGGGTGAAATATCATCAAGAACTTTGAACTAGAAGAAATGATTTTTAATTTGTCTCAGGCTGAGCACTCAAAATTAGTGAGTGCTTTTGACTTTGGTCCTTGTGTGTGCTGTTGCTTCTTCTGAAAACAGGCAGGCGTTATTAAGGGTGGTGAAGCACTCAGATGCTGTGGTGTTGGGATATAAGAAATGTCCTAACAGGAAATTAGTAAAAGGTCTTCTGACTAAGATTTCTTTATTCAAATTAGATACTAGATACTTTTTACAAGGGGAGAAAACCTATGAAGAGCTGATGTGTATTGTATCAAGTTGAATCTTCTGGAAAGAACAGCAGATGCATATGCACAAAAAAAAAAAAAGATAAATTTCAGTTCTTTGGGGCTGTTCCTTCGTCTGTCTTCCTGGTTTCTTCCCACTGGTTGTCAGTCTCAGTTGCAACAGCTTGCAACTAAACCTACTGTTTCCAGCCTGTAATTGCAGTATCAACTCTTTCTCCTGCTGTTTGTGCTGCCTGTGCTGTTACTGTGCCTGCTGCAGGCCCATTTTGACTCCTCATCATTAAGGGGATTCTTGTAGCATCCCAGGAGAAGGGATCTTTGCTTGCGGTCCAGATGTCTGGACCTCGAGCTGGTCCAGCCTGTGCAGACTCTCACTGTAGTTGCTGCAGCCAAGCGCAGGCTGAAAGCTCGCAGCCCACTGCAGCTAAAGCTTGATGGCGAGCATGGCAGTGCTAAGCATTCACTACTAATGAATGCTGATGAAAACTATGATTTGGGTTTTCCCAAGGTTTATATCTTGTGCGAATTTTCAGATGTGGTAAGAGATTTGATATAAAGCTGCTCTTCTACTGAATTTTCATCCTTCTTCCAAATCAGAGGCAGAGAGGAGATAAAGCTTTACAGCTTGGAAAGAAAAATCTGAAGACGCCTGAATGCTTTCACAGACAATGTATGCTTTTCTGATACTGTCGTTCTAGGATCAGCTCAATCATTTTGGTTTGAATTTTAATAAAACAAAATAAAATAAAAAAAAGCTTGAATCTATTGTAATGACTTGGCATGGAATGTTTTAGCCCAAGGAACTGCAATTGCTCATAGTTTTAACAAATTTTAAAGGCAGCTTTATAAAGGGCAGTGTCACACAACCTTAATAATGAGTGGTGGCGGTAAATTCTACCTGAAGCTAAAAAAATTTCTGGGGATCATGTTTTATGTTACCCAGATTTACTTCTTATAAGCTTAAATGTTTGACGATAATTCTCGGTTCGTTGAAATCTGCTTGAACCACAACCACTAAACTCTTCTCTATCATTTGTTTCCAGATGTACACACAATGTACTTTACAAAAATACAATTGCTCTTAATTTTGACTTTATATGCAATATATTTATCATAATACAATGGTGAAATGTAGAATAGACATTGACAGATATATACCAGATGTGGAGGAAGGCTAGCAGTCAGAAAAAAAAAGATAAATTGAATATTTCATGAATTGAGAAGACTCCTTCCACAAAAGTAATGGATTAAATATCTAGCCTCTATAGTGGAACGTACAGATTTCTTTGCCAAAATGTGGTGTTCATTCCACAGTATGTTGAAGACTGGATTGCTTTTGGCTTTTACGGTATAGTTGAACTTTGATGGACACATGCCATGTCTTCACATTAAATTAAATATGTGTGCATGCCCTAGATTAGTATTTCATTAACCGTGAAGAATATTAAATAAATATGTCTCTATTTTTTTAAATAAGGCTGCTTCTCAGTTTACTTTCTCTACCATGCTGTTAGATGTCAGTAATTCTAGGACAGAAAAGAAAGATAGTTCATATTTGTTTTTATAAATGATCTATTGGCTGATTATAGTTTGCTCCCCAGTTCATCAAACATGTTGTGCACATACTTTACTTTAAACACAAGTAGCTGCAGTTCTTCTCAGCTTATGATTAGGGGTTTAGTATTCTTCAGAACTGATACTGCAGAAGAATATTATCAGTTTTGTTAAAGGCTATAGTTTCAAACAAAGAGCTAAAACTATTTCACTTCTTTCCTTATAAAGAAATCTGATGGGTTTTTTCTACCTTAAAGTGTATTCCCTTATTGATTTCACAGTAGTTGCTCTCAGATCACCCTCCTTGTGATCTAATGCTGGCTTTCATTTCCACATTGACAAGCTTAGAGACTGTTTCTCTGGAGGTCAGTTTGAGAGTATGGGCTTTCCCTTTGAGTTCATTTTTCCTTTGTCGCTTGTGCAACTTATTTTGTGCTCTATGATCTTTGCTGTCCTGGGAAGCGTACCTGCCCGCCCCAGTGGCTCATGGGTAGTATGGAGGGGTTTAATTTTCAGAAGTACTTAGGATCAGTTCTAGGAGGGAAACTCAAGAGAGCTGGGCATCCATGTGCATTTGATTCTGCATCCTGCGTATTTCTCCTGAGAGTGAATGAGTTAGTGGGAATTAACAATCCTTAGGCTCTTACATGGTTAAAATGGTTAAATGGCGTGCAAGTGTCTAAGCCTCTAATTCTTTTGTGAAATTCTTTTGCAAAATTTTATCCATCTCCTTTGAAGTAGAAATGGGAGCCTGATTCCTTTAATAGTTTTAAGAATCAGATCCAGGACTTTGAACTAACTGTGGCAATTGTTTGTTAGCTGTGTGGAAGATTGGGGATGTGAAAGAACGATGAGAACTTTATTTTGACAGAGATATGGCAGCCAGATATGAACATTTTTTGGCTGTTTAGTTTGTAAGGACTGTTGTTGATGCAAAACGTAGTTAAGAACCATGGAAGGCAGATAGATGTGATGTGTGCTAATTAGAGTCTTTTTGCATCTGTTTGCTTTGCTTTCAGCTTCAGACACTATGAGTTGTTGTGGATGGATGCTTGTCTGTTAGAGAAGAATGAAGTTTACCACAAAGATAAAGGTGTAGGGATTACTGGGTTTTTGTGTTTCACTATTTTTATCATATTGATGAAACTCTATCAGAAAGTAGAGGAGAGAGAATCTGAGCCATTATTGGCTAGGAAAGGGAGGAAAAAAAAGTCCTTATTCTTTTCTTCTTTTCTTTTTCCCTCAAAGCATTCTTCTTTGCTTCTTTCCAATTAACTTCACTTCAGTCGGCAAACAGCTGTTTGCTTGCTTGCTTTGAGTGAGTTGGTTGTCTTGTCCAGCACAGAGCAGACAACCAAACTCCCTGATCAGATGGCTACAGCTGGCATGCGTTAACACTTGTCAGGTCTTGGGCAGGTTTCCCCAGAGGAGTGTTAGGGCTGATGGTGGCTGATAGTAGGCTAAGGTAGTTAACCTTACCGTTCACCTGGTGGAAGGTATGGCTGATGTACAGTTTTCCATTTGGCTTTTTTTTATCCAGAAAGTTGACTAGCTATTATAACAGCCTCTTATATGCTAAAATATCTCAGTGATCATCCATTGAGACTATTAGCAGCTGTGTCTCTTTTAGAGTAATAATTGAAGGCAAATGAATAGCTCATGCCCTGTGATCCTGGAAAAATGGAGATATGGGAAGAAAACCTTTAAAATTAACCAAATTTTTTCTTCAGATAATATTCCTATTACCTGTAACCTACTGACTAGTGTGTGTACTTAGTGCTGCTCTCCATGAGATAGAATACAAGCAACTTAGCTAGTTGTTATGTTTTTCTGTTGCTAGCAGCTAGTGAAGGAGCATCCTTTAGCTCAGCTGAGGGATGAGGGGAAGAACTGTGCTTCTGATCTGAAAAACTGTCCCAGGTGTTGGTAGAATGGGTCATACAGCAGAAAAGCAACAGGCTTGTAGATCTATTAATTAGGTACACTTAAAACTCTTTTCATCCTAATGCAAAATTTGAACTCATTAAAATAGGAAAAAGAACGTATTTGTTTTGCTAGATTAGTAGCGCTAAAACTAGGTTTTAATGAAAATTACATCTTTGTTGGTCTGTTCCTAGTTGTAGATAGTGGAAGCTTGCAAAATGAAAAGAGGGGGAAAAAATCGTCTTTCCCTCCTCTCTCTCCTGCCCTTCAGTCTTCTCCGGTGAAACACCTGCCATGCTTTAGTACAAACCAATTTTACTGTGTTAGTTTTAATTCATTTTTAGCCAAGGCTGAAAAGGACGCTCCATTTTCTCGTGAAGTTGATGTTCAGATGTGATGTTCAGAAAGGGAAAACTTTAATTTGTATAAGACATTGTTGTTATAAAATGATCACCTATCTTAATGCCACTTTCATCTGTCTGTCATTAGGATACTCACACTGATTTTTATTGTTCAGATTTTGGTTAATTGGTTCTTTGAACAATACTGTTCAGCTCTTAATAAGCTAATAAGAGAATAGATCCACATTTTGAAACCTTCATTTTAGACAGTTTACGGCAGCTGCTCTTTTTATTTGGTTTTAATGTTTCTTTTGAAGATGATGATCTATTAAAATCTGTTTTTCGTGTTCTCTGGCAGGCTTATAAGCCACTCCTTATAGTAGTACTTCATTTTTTTTAATCCGTGAGCTATTTCTTTAAAGTCAAATACATTTTCTTTCCAAAATCAAAGTAATTTGGGAACAAACTGGAATATATGCCTGTGGTTTCCAGATAGCACTCTGCTTGTAGTCTCATAGTGCTGTGCACGGTCTGTAGCCAGTTTTTATAACACGGACATTGATATTTAGTGTAGCAACAACATATTTTTTCTCTTATTAAACTGAGTCAGTGTGAAATGTGTACTCAATAGCCAGAAAAATTTTTAGGGAAGAGTAAAACTTTGCAACTACAATGTAGCAATTCACTTGGCTCTTTTTTGTCCTCTTTCCTCACTGTGAAGTGTTTTTCATGTTTAATCTCATGATACTTTAGTTATTTATCCCTAGACAAATCTGTGTCTGCTTTCATGCTGCATCTATTACTCATGTATTTGTTCACGTCTTGCAAAATTCCTCTTCTGGTTGTTGATAGCTATTGATCTGTTCTGTTGATGTCCATTCTGTCATGAGTGAAATACATCTTTCATTTCTTCAGGCAGTTTTAGCAAGTTATTGCCCTCTTGGTTTCTCAAGTCTCTCAGTGGCCTTTGCTTTGGCTTCCTCTTTTCTTCCTGTGAACATCCTCATGCTGGTCGCTTAGTAACTTTGGTTCTATTCTCTCCGTGAAATGAGAAGAATATTTACCTACTGTATTTTAGGGGTATTCAGAGTAAATTCATTAATATTTCTGGAACATTCTGAAAATACAGTACATTAAAAATCTTGAGCTGAATAAATTTGTTACGTAACTGTGTAACACTGCTAATCCATAGTGGTTTCTCAACACACTTTCTTTTTCTCCTTTCGGCTATAAGGTTTCTTATTTTAGCTGTAAGCGTAAGTATAACTCAGAAACATTCCACCACAGAATTGATATTCTTAAAATGTGAACTTTTCTTGTTTTTTAGGGAGTAACAGGTGCTTTGGCAGTTTTGATGAAAGACGCAATTAAGCCAACGCTAATGCAAACATTAGAGGTGAGTACGGCTCGGGATGCCTTCCCTCCTTCTCCAGCTTTCAGACTCCGTATAGCGCTTGTCATGCGGCTCTCTGGCGACAGCACGTAACTTTCTGGGTTCAAGCTGGGGTCAACTCTATAAAGGCATTTTAGCAAATGTTCATTTGTATATGTTAACTAATCAACTCGAGCTACGTTTATACCCTTCTGGTGTGTGGGGTTTTGGTCCCTCCCGCCCCCCACACACACTTCTTTCCTTCTGGGAGACTTCTGGCTTCAGTCATAATTTTGCCTAGAGCTGCAAAGAAGGCACAGTGTGCCATTGAACTGCTTGGGCACAGCAGAAGGGCAGGTCGGGCTTCTGAGGCGTTAATCCCCTTCTGTTTCCCATCTCGCTCTGCTAGGGAAGTTTCCTTCCTATATGTCGCTTGCTTTACATTTATGTTCCCACAGTGATTCCCACAGCCCACTGTTCTGAGTGGAAGGCAGATGCTTCACTGAGGCCATTCTCTTCTGTGCTGTATTTTGTGCTGTTCAGAAAAACATGAGGGTTTTTCTCCCTGTTTATGCTTCAGAGCGCCCTCCGAGGGCAAATGAAGCTTTACAGGTTTTTGCAAGCAATGTTTTACGATCGCTCCTAGTGGGCTTTCTTCCAACAGCTTGAAGAATTACAAATAGAAGGAGCACAGCCTAACTTTGTGACTGGCTTTTGAATAGTAAGCCCAGCGCTGAACAGTGTTCATGGGGAGAGGGAGGAAGAAAAGAGGGTAAATAACAAAGGAATTTTGAAAACCAAAGGTATTTGGGGAAAACCTGGAATAATGCATATTATTGAAAACTTAACTATCAAAAATACATTGCTGGAATATTTCACAACAATTCCTGGTGTGGTGAAAAGCTGAAGAATTTAGAAGGATACCAATGCAGTCCCAGACTTGTTTAAAAAAAAAAAATCTCATTTTCTACAGCATGTCAAAGTGATAGCTACGTTTTTGCTGTTGTGTTTGGATGGGGACAACTTGTTTCTCTCAGGGATTATTAGAAAAATAGGATTTAAGTCACGCTTACTATAGCCAGCTTGATTCTCCTGCAAAGTTCATTTGTTTTTTCATGTGGCTGCATGAAGAGAGTATGTGTGTGTGTACTGTAACATCCAAAAGCTGAAATTGGAGATCACATAGAATCAAGAAGTATTTCACAGCTAGAAATGTGTATTAAATTGCCACTTGGATAATGTTTGTGTGCATTAAGCATCGGTCACAAAGTAGCTTTGCTTCTGAGTAATCTGCCACTCTGTTGTCACCTTGCATATCTATTAGAAAACAATGTGGCTTTGTTGTAGTGTTCTAAAGGACAATTATAAATGTCAGAATCGTTTCTTTTGATTGATAGTCATTTGGTTCTGGGAATTTCACACTTTTTTTCATTCCATTTCTTTATATTCACATTTCTAAGCAGTACAGTTTCAGTCTTTCCTGTGGTTTTCTTTTCTGGCCTAATCTATGCTATGGCTGAAATATCTGTCAAGCTTCATCAAAAACTGTTGCTGATTATGTGGTTCCTGACTACGGTAGCCAAGGATATTTTTTCCCAAAATTTTTGTTATAGAGTTATTTTTAAAACTACAACAAACGAAAGCAGCTCAAAGGCCTCTTTTATGCTCCACTCCTGCCATTTGAATCTCAAAGACAAACTTTTGTCACCCTTTGAATACCTCTTGGTGTGCAGGCCACTTTGGGTCACCTATCCAAGAATGCACATTCTCTCTCTTTGGTAACAATAACGTCAGTAACGATCCTGTGACAAGGACATCCAGTGTCTACACCATGCTGGTGGTGAAAAATTGAATAACGTGATTGCACGAAGCACAAATGCAGCTCAGGCTGTTCAGGGCACTTGTCCTGCAAGCAGGGATGAAACAGCTCAACAAGGCAGGTCTTCCAGATCTCTCTGGCACTGGAGAATGGCAAAAAGACTGCCTGAGAAGGAGGAGCAGGAGATCTTCAGGGTGGCTTCCAGCTGATACTGATAGTTAATTTGGGATGATTTGTAAATAATAGTGTCTGTGGTTAGCAGCAGCTGCAAGTAGCTGTTGCAGAGAAAGCCCCATTTACTTCTTCCTGTGATCTGGAGAAGAGCCTTTGGAGGGGTACTCTTTAAGCTGTGGGCTGTGGCAGTCTGAGGCGTTGCTTCTACGGAGCCTGTGAAACACAAGAAAAGAACTGCCAACTCAGTAGGCTTAAATTAGCTTTGTGGGGGGCTCTGCATGCACTGGAGAAAATGGTTATAACTTCATAAATCAGAAATGACTGAATGCCAGTCCTGCACAGAACTGAACTGCCAGCTTATGTGTGAATGCTTCTTTTTATGTGTGAATTGATTCATTTTGCTTTTTAAAGAGGCTGATTGCTTTTGGAGGCAGGTGGATTTCCATCACAGCCCTGCCACCCCCTCCCCAGTAATGCTGCCTCAAGGAGTTAGTGATTGGCAGGTTTTTATGACAGTAAAATCTCAAAATGAGAAACATGGCAGGGAATGCGAGCGTCGTGCTGTTGACTCCACCTAAAATAACTGTAGGCTTCAGTAGCATTTACATCTAATGCTGTAGAATTGAGATTAGTGTGAAATATGCATAATGATTTCATAGTGTTTATCCATGTTTGTCATGACAGATTTGTTTCCTTGTGAACTGATCCCTTAATGTTTAGCATTTATTTATACTCTGTGTAACAGAACAGCTGCTGTATGGGACAGCTCTTTGTAACTGCAGAGTGGCTGCACTGTGATGGCCTGCTGATGTTACGTTTAAAGTGTCACTCGCAGAAAAGAGGAGGGGAAGATGGTAATAAGTATGATAAACATCCTTTTAGCTGCCAGATCATTTTAGATATTTATTGGCATTCAAAGTTTATTTTCTTCTACTAAAACTTTGATAATAAAATTTCCTGTATTAAAACTGTTGGCGGAATGCATCCCTGAACCACTGTTTGTTTTCACATGTAGCTTATTAAGAGTGTTACAAAAGTAAGTGACACTCTGCAGAGGGGGATGCATGGACTGTTCAGAGTTGCTGAAGTCGTTCTAAGAAGACTTTATTGTCCCTTCTCCAGGGTGTACCTGAGGTTCCCGAGGTTCTGCTGGAGTTCACTCCATTAAGTCCCTAGACTATTTTTCTTCCAGCTGATTCACATAATTCCCCCTTTCCGTCTGGTGGAGTCCCAGGGGACCATCTTTCTGTGCCAGTGGCTTAATACTGTGTTTTGACTTAAAGTCAGTGGAAGGGGGCCTCTTGGCTACGAATATTCTGGATATCCAGTCTAGTCTAGTTGGTAGCTAGCAGTGTCCCCCAGGGGTCAATACTGGGTCCAATATTGTTCAACTTATTCATCAGTGACCTGGATGAAGGGACAGAGTGCACCCTCAGCAAGTTTGCTGGTGATACAAAACTAGGAGGAGTGACTGATACCCAAGAGGGCTGTGCTGCCATTCAGACGGACCTCAGCAGGTTGGAGACATGGGCAGAGAGGAACAACAAAGGCAAGTGCCAAGTCCTGCACCTGGGGAGGAGTAGCCCCATGCAGCAGTACAGGCTGGGGGCTGACCTGCTGGAAGGCAACTCTGCAGAGAGGGACCTAAGAGTCCTGGTGGACAACAAGTTGACCATGAGGCAGCAATGTGCCCTTGTGGCCAAGAAGGCCAACAGTATCCTGGTGCGTATTAAAAGAGTGTTGCCAGTAGGTCGAGGGAGGTGATCCTCTCCCTCTACTCAGCCCTGATGAGGCAGCATCTGGAGTGCAAGAGAGACATGGAGCTCCTGGAGCGAGTCCAGGGAGGGCTATGAAAATGATGGAGGTACTGGAGCCTCTCTCCTGGGAGGAAAGGCTGGAAGAGCTGGGCCTGTTTAGCCTGGGGAAGAGAATACTGAGAGGGGATCTGATCAATGTGTACAAGTATCTGCAGGGGGAGTGTCAAGAGGATGAGGCCAGAGTCTTCTCCGTGGTGCCCAGTGACAGGACGAGAGGCAACAGGCAGAAACTGAAACACAAGAAGTTCCATCTTCCCAGGAAGTCCCAGGAAAAACTTCTTTCCTGGGAGGGTGACAGAGCACCCTGGGGCAGGTTGCCCAGAGAGGTAGTGGAGTCTCCTTCCCTGGAGATATTCAAAAGCCATCTGGACACAATCCCGGGTAATGTGCTCTGAGTGACCTGCTTGAGCAGGGGTGTTGGACTAGATGATCTCCAGACGTCCCTTCCAACCTCAACCATTCCGTGATTCTGCAATATTGGATCCTTCAGTCCAAACCTCCTTCCCATCCACACTATGTGGGCAAAACCCCAAAGCACAATTCAGGGAATGGTGTGGGAGATCCTTCTGGCCCTAGCTGTCGCTCAGTGCATAGCTGCTGCAGGTATGGGCTGGGCTACCCTCTCAGCAGCCGTGTTCCTGCTTCCACATATTGCATCAGCTGGTGTGCATGCTGGCCTGTAATGAGAGTGGCCCTGTAATTGCTTACTTCAAGGAATTAAGGACTTAGAAGAATAGAATTAAACCTACTGAATAATTAAAACACAAGTCAGAATAGTTCCAGTTTATTTAAATCCAGTAACTGAAAACAGACAGCAGTCTTATTTAAGTGCTTGGAGGGTAAATACTGGATTAAAGTAGAAGTAAAAATTGAGGAAGGATCAGCTTAGATAAGCAGAAGTGTTTTGCTGTTTTACTTCAAGTTATAAGCACTTTGGGCCAGGAGTAATTTTTTTATTTTATAGAGCATCTCTCATTAGATTGAGGCCCAAATGTCAGTAAGAAACTTTGAAACAGAGGAAACTAAGTTGTAATTTGAAAGCGTACCTAGTTCCAGTTAAATTTTTGCCTGAGTATATTAAAACCCAATTCATATTGCAGTATTTGATCACTAACAGACAGAAAGCAGGAAAAAAGGTATTCTCTGAGTAAATACGATGATGTCAGTGTCTTGTGATGATGACCTACGTTATTTTTCTTGTTACAGGGCATGAATTTCTGGTTTATTTACTTTTTGTGCTTCTGTTCCATTGTTTCTTCTCCCATACATGAAGGGAGGCAGAACTGACTTTGGGTTCTACCTTAATTGTCCAACTTTTAGAGAACATTGCTCACCTATATGTGTGCATATTCTCCTTTTGCCACTCTCAATTTAAAAAAAAAAAAAACCTTAGAAGGACCTTGAAGCTTAATGTGCTAGTGGCTAAAAAGTTATTTGTCTTTGCTCTGAAGAAAACAATTATTTGTGTGTAATCACTTCTGGATAATACAATAAGAACAGATATTTGTTGATATTTTGTATATGATTTGTATTCAGTTTTACTAAGACAGGAAAATTGTGTTTTTTGAAGGTTTGATTTGGGTCAATTTCCCTTAAGTGGTCTGTCTTTCATTAAGAATGTATGGAGGATATTACTTTATAATACTATAAGAAAGATTAAATCTTTCAATTTAGTTATAGTAACTTAAGTATTTTGCCATTGTAATCCAATTGTTCTGAAGTTTTATGAAAAACATGGAAAATTTTTTGCATTTAAAGGTTCTTTTCTTAAAATACTGTGGAGGAAAAAAGACTCAACCAGCTTTTATTATATGCTTAGAAGTAAGTTGTGGTTCATGGGGCTGTTGGAAGTGGCCTGCAGCTGATCCATGGAAACCTGTCCTCATTAAATGGTTTTTCTTGTCGAAAGTTGAGGAAAATTGCACAGTACTTGCCTGAAATTTTAAGGGTTGGCAGTAGCTCCAAATCCCAAATGTGTGAAGAACATTGATGTAGATAATCCAGAGCTGTTCTCTTAACTTTTCTTTCACTAGCTGGGGAATTTTTAAAAGTGTTAGTATGACAAAGGTGTGTGTTTGTTTGAGTATTGTGTAGTAAGATAGTTGAGGTGATATCTCCAACACCTGAAATGTGTCTAAAACCCCCAAATTATCTGACAGTTAGCACTTATTTGTTATATGTGTTTTTGGTTTGTATAGCACCTTGATTAGTCTGCATGTGTCTATTGGGTTAGCATTCTTTGCTATCTGTTATATTATTAAAATATATGTATTTTCTCTTCTTTAGGGAACACCAGTATTTGTTCACGCTGGACCTTTTGCTAATATTGCACATGGGAATTCTTCTGTTTTGGCAGATAAAATCGCCCTTAAGTTAGTCGGAGAAAAAGGATTTGTTGGTAAGTTATTGTTCTGTTTATTGCATTATGTTTTTTTGGTAAGTTGGCAAACAGTAATGTAATGTGAAAAATGAAAGTGCAATTCTATTTCAGGTTAATATTAATAATAATCTTAAAGAGAATGTATTTAAAAAAAAATCCCCAAACACTAATTCTGTTACCACCCTTTGTCTCAGTTGTCCCCAGCACTGAGTTTGAGGTTCCACAAGATAGCTGAATCAATTAAATGACTTGATTACTCTGAAAGAGTACTTGAAAGAGGTGTCCTGTATTTCCTTGTATTAGTATTCGTCTGATCCCTCTGGCTAAACTGACAGAAAACATTCACTTTTCTTTGTTGGATTATTCCTCTGCCAGTTCAGCAAGCTAAGCCAAATCGGGGTCAGATGAGAACCTGAGCCAGAGCAAAGGGAACAGAAAGGCTGGGAGCAGATGGGAGGCGGTAAAAGAAAAAGAGTGAGACTGCCTTTTTTTGGTGGCAGTGAGGCATTAGGTTGGCCCAGCTACATGGTGAAAGCTCACGAGGCTGTCGTCTTCACGTGAAAGCAACCATGGATGGATGGAGGGATGGACAATTTTTATATTAATAGTTCTGCCTGCAGAGTTTCCACAACAGACATGTAGAACTTGCTGTGAGGTGAAGTGCTAAATCTTAGTGTACCTCAAACATCCTCAATACACAGTGGATGCTTTCAAACTGAAATTGTCCTAACTAATACCAGAGTTGGAACTTGGCTTGTGTTAGAATCTGGGTGCTGATATTTTAGTGCTGACTTCCGGAAGCTTAAGATTCTTAAATATGTAAACAGACTATTTTTAGTATGAGGTTCAAGCACTGCATCCAGTGCTGCACTAATTAGTGACATTTGCTCTAGAGGGTAGTAGCTATTTAAATACTCTGCCACGTTGCGAATCTGAACAGTAACAGTATGATTCTAGAGCAGGAAACTCGGGGAATCTTGCTGTAGTATAGCAGACAAAATAAACTTGTGATTCAACAGTGAACTAGATGTTATAAATATTTTTTGTGTTTTTAAACTTCAGATTTAATGAAAGAAAAGGGGCATTAACATGCTACGGTAGCAGTGACCTTTGCATTTTTGCAACCATTCCCTTTTCTGTACACTGAACACCCCAATTTCTGCATTGCAAAGAAATGCAAAGAAATGCAAGAAACGGGGGTGAGAGAGAAGGGGGACCAGAGCAGCCCCAATTTAAATTGTTTTAATTAACTTAGAACCATATCATAATCTAGTGAGAATAAGTGATGAGCTTTCAACTGGATGAGCTTTCTTGAACCTCCTTACTGCAATTGCACTTCTGCTCGTCTTAGAGCAAAGGAGAAGGCAAGAATATACAGCTAGGAACAGTGGGAGAGCAGGCAGCAGGCCAGGTTGGTTTAAATTAATCCTAAAATTGCACTTTGAGTACCTATGGAACAGTGCTTTTGAAGAGCTGCAGTACTGGGAAACCTGAGGTTTCCTATCTGCTCTACTAATGCCTTGAAATTAGCAGGGAAAAGCATGCATCTGTGCTTATGTCATATCTACATACTGCTATAAATGACAAAGAGGATCAAATTACTTGGCAGCGTTGTTTCTATTTAAAATCACTGGTAATCCTAGAGAGGATAGAAAGATTGGCTGCATTGTTGTATAGACTGTGTATACCATTTGTGTGTGTGTGTATATATATGCAATTCAACCTACATATTCACAGGTATAGATTATTAAAAATTCTTGTACAAAATGGTACACCAGTGAACAAAAAGATATCAGGTTATCTTTTTATAGCGATTTTAAAAAGTAATAATGATTAATACCAGTACAAGGAGTAAAGGATTAAAATCTGTAGACCATGCTGAGTTTGAAAAAGACCTCCAGAAATTGTGCAATGTATACCTTTGTTCTCTGGATAACAACAAAAAGGTAGAGCAGGCAGAAATTGCTTGGTTTATCTGAGTTCCATTATCTTGAGGGTTTTTTCTATTTAAATATTATTTATTTGCTATTTTCTCATCTCTAGTTACTCATCGTTATAGATCTAAGTTTCTAAACTCCTTTACTCTTCTGTGCCTGGAACAAATACTCTTCATTCTTCTTTTTTTTAAGTTGGTAAATTATAGCAGAGCGCACACAAGGATTTTTAGATCCTTGTGGAATATTATTAACAGCGATAGTAGCTACAGTCAGCTTTGCTAACTCTGCCCTTCTAAGTCAATATAATTTGCAAAGATTGTTGGACATTTGCATGTAACATTTTGTTAGCAAGAGCATTCTTGGGAAGAGTTTGATTCAGTATTCTGCCTTCACCTCTCATGGTTGGATATGGTAACTAAGGAAATGCTGCACTGCGTAAGAAAAAAAAGTATTGTAGTCTAGGTGATGAAACATGAGGCTTTCAAGGTAGTTTGGGTGTGTGTTGTGTATTTGTGTATCCTTTTGAAAATGCGTCGTCATTTCACAGAACGGGTTTTTTCACCAGTGTGTTGCTATTACAAAGCTAAGAAACATCTGTTCGTTTCCCTGTAACAGTCATCCACTCAAAGTGAGCACATTTTGCATTCTGAATACCTTTATTATTTTAAGATAATGGAATCAGTATTTCAATAAGCCTGTTTGTTGCTGCATGGCTTTGTAGAATGAAAAGCAAAAGCAGTTAGAGCGCCTAACATTTTTCATAGGCTGGATCCAGTGACTTCGTTTCTACAGTAAGTAACCTTTTCAAGTGGGAAGTCTGGTTTGTATCATCTCAGTGGGAGCAGGCTGGCTGCAGTCCTCTTGATCCAGTTTTTGGAGCCCAAAAGAATTGCCTTGGGTTTGGATTCCTCTCCATTCAGGCACTGCAAGCATATCCTTACATTTCAGGCCTTTTTTTTGTTTGTCTTTAGCCCTGCTTTCTCTGCAGCAGGGAGGCAGAGCAGCGTAGCTGCAATAATTTCATCTTCCTGTGCTGCCAGCTAAGGTCTCTTCTTCCAGATTTTATTCTACAAAACAAATTCCCATGAAACTATCATCAAAATGAGACAGCCTCACTCCCAGCAGAGCAAGGAACGTTAGCATGACTTGGCGCCTACCTAAATATAGTTTGCAGGTAGTAACAAGCGTAAGCAGTTGCTCTAATGGCTTTGTTTACTGAAAGCTCTACAAGTTTAAAAAATAACTGTTTCTGGTGAATAGTCAGGGCACATTGGCAGAGTGTGGAGAACAGCTGGTTTATTAATTGCCGTCCTGTCTGCCCCTAACCAGTTTAAGTCTAAAGTGATGGATATAAAATGTGCACCAGTCCACAATGAGTTTCACATCTATACAGGTGGAGAGCTCAGAGCTCTGTGAAGCTTCACAGCAAAAATTAGCAAGAAACTCCACCGTATCCTGTTTGTGTGTAATGTTTGTCTTAGCACCATATTGTCATTGAAACTTGCTGATCCTGTAGGTAATGCAGACAGTAGGAATTCAGGACAGCTGTACTGCAGTTCTGTAAGTAGCTGAAGCAACTTAGTTATCCACTCCTCTTAGAAGTAAAATATTTGACTGCCTCACATTTTTTCTCTTGCCCCGACCTGTTCCTGTGCAGTCCCAGTCCTCTCCTTGCGTTGGATCTGGCTCTCATAAGATTCTTGTTTTAGTGATTTCAGTTCATGTTTTACCATGTGGCTTAGTTGCATAAGCTTGTGAGGGGATCCAGGGGGTGCTGGAAATAGCATAAGATAAAGGGCAAGACTTCATGGCCAGGAGAAGCATCTTGGGGACAGTGAGCTGTTAGATTGGCTCCCAACCTTCTGCAGCTGCACCCAAAGCAGGGACAGGAGAAATTACTTGGTGTTTTCAGTGGGGGGGGGCTGTTTTTGTTTCTATTTGTTTGTTTGTTTGTTTTAATTAAGCCCTAGTTATTTTAAGAGCAGAATTGATCTCCTGCTAGGTGTCTGCGCTGTGCTAAGCAGGACAGTATGGCCTGAACTTGCAACATAGTTTCACAAACATTTCCTTATTATTTCTTTCCCTGATAGTTTAAGCAGCCTCCTCCCTGCAGCTGCTTGTTTCCACTCCTGTGCAACCCCTTGGTTTTGCCAACACACCTGTTTACAGAGCCACATGATAAACTAAACTGGGGAACTGGTCTTCATTAAAAGCAACAACAACAAAAAATCCCCTTCCTTCCCCTCACACGCAGTGGCAGGGCAAACAGTTGCACGCGCAGCAAGGGGACGAGGAGAGACGCTGCATAAGCTAGTGTTTTTGCTGAAATAAATATTTGTAAAATTATAATCTGGTTTGGAGCTTTACAGTGCCAATAAAATTCTGTGGATGCAATAGCTAGTCAGCCTGAGCCTGCAGTGCTACAGCAGCTAAGCCGGTCTCCTTTCTCAGCCTGCGCTGAACAGCTTTTGCACGACATCCCGGCAGAAACCTATTCCCCTTTTTTGTTGGCTTAGTTTTCTGCTGACTTAACACAGAAGCAGTTCAGCCCAGAGTCACAAAAACACCGTAGTCGGAGCAGGGGCGGGTAATGTGGGACAGCCAGCAGTGAAACAGCAGTCTCATTTGTGCAGGTCCCACTGTTTGTGTGACCCTGTTCTGCAGCCAAGGCACAAGAATGCTCCCAAAGTCTTCCTTTAACATTTATTTGTAAACCTTATCTTCTCTCTGTTTTTCTGTTTGTTCTACATATGGAATTGGGCTTTGTGGTACTTGGCCTTTCTACTTGCTGTGCCTTTTGAATACTGCTGACTAACAGTATTGTGGGCAGTCTGGATGAAAAAACAAATCTAAACAAAATCCAGCCATTGAGGCCTATTGTGAATGGCAACTAATTCAAGGCATTCCCTGCTTCAGTTTCAGATGCCCACGGCAATCCCAGATCCTTGCAAGTTCGAGACAGCCTAAGCCCTTTAGGTCAGTTTGTCCATTCACCCTTCCCTGACATACTGACAGTTCAAAGTCCTTTTGCTCTTAATTTTTCTCTGGTAAGAGAAAACTGCATTTTAAGCGCAGC